TCATAAAATTGAATTTTAAATAGAAATGTGAATATATATATATTAAAATTTAAAACTTTTAAAATGGAGGCTTATAAATATTATTATGTTGTGCATCATGACTGCACAACAGACGAGGTTAGCAAAATCATATCTGAACTTAAGAACGGTAAAGCAAGTGATATACCTATTCATGTTGTAAAACAGTCCTCAAAAATAGTCACTCCTCTACTTACTGTACTGTACAATGAATGTATGAAAGATGGCATATTCCCAGATGACCTAATCCTTCCAATCCTAAGATTGGAAGGATTAGTCCAATTTACAAGAAAGATAACCAGGAACTACTTGAAAATTATAGACCTGTGTCAACACTTGCAGTATTTGGTAAAATATTTGAAAAAATTATATTCAACAGATTATATAGCTTCTTTCATTCACAGAAAGCCTTGTATGAAAACCAGTACGGATTCCGTAAAAATCATTCGACTAGTTATGCTTTAAATTACTCAGTTAACCACATAGAATCACGTCTCAAGAAAAAACAACACGTACTTGGAATATTTATTGATCTTAGCAAAGCTTTTGATACAATCTCACATGAAAAGTTACTGCATAAGTTAGAAAACTATGGGATCCGTGGAAATGCAAACAACCTTATAGCAAGTTACCTGTCGAATAGATACCAGTATGTCTCAGTATTAGGTGAAGACTCTGAGAAACTGCCCGTTGTCTACGGAGTGCCCCAAGGGTCCTGTTTAGGTCCCTTGCTGTTTATCATCTATATAAATGACATCCGAAACTCATCAATTATAGGAACGTTTATACTATTTGCCGATGACACTAACATATTTATTGAAGAAACATGTGTCAGAAGACTGTACGAAAAGGGAAATGAAGTTTTAGCATCTGTTTATAAGTATATGAAACTAAACTTATTACATATTAACATTAAGAAATGCTGTTTTATCCACTTTAGACCGTCACGTGCCAAAGAGGAAGTAGAAAATGACGAGAACATATTAACTTTGAACAATGTTGTCATTAAAAAAGTCCAAGAAGCTAAATTTCTAGGTGTCATTATCGATGATCAACTTAATTGGAAAACTCACACACGGTCACTTAACTCAAAACTTAAATGTGAAGTAGGTAAGTTATGCTGAATACGACACATTGTCCCTAAACAGTATTATAAGGATTTATATCATACTTTATTCGAATCACATTTGGGATTTGGAATATCTGTATGGGGTGGTATTAGCAACAACCGACTCGAACCTCTCTTTAAAACACAGAAAAAGTGTATAAGAATTCTATTTGGGGATAAAGAAGCTTACTTAGAAAAATTTAGAACTTGTGCCCGGACACGACCATTTGGTGAGCAAATACTAGGTGTGGACTTTTACAAAAAAGAACACTCTAAGCCCTTGTTTAAGAATCAGAAATTTTTAACTGTTCACAACCTGTATAAGTACACTTGTCTCTTAGAACTATTCAAAATTAATAAGTTAGAGGAACCATTATCACTGTACTCATCATTTAACAGGTCACCACGACGAGAGGATTATTTCATCACATCACAACCATCCTCACAATTCATCTACCAATCATCCTACATGTGGAACAGCTGTCGACAAACATCAAGTAAGATAAGTTTTAATACTCCGACAAACGGGTTTAAGAATACATTGAAAATTGCTTTACAAGAATTGCAATTCAAGCAAGATACACTTGATTGGTGTGAGCTTAATTTTGCCACAAATGAGCTCAAGTTTTGATTAATATGAGTTACTAAAATAACCACTTATCTTTCCTCATACATGCAACCACTGCACTCCAACTAAACACATTATTTACCACAGTCCACACACCATACTCCACAGATGATATATATATATATATATATATATATATACACACAAACACACTTGTACCGAACAATTGCACTGTAAAACATGCTCACGATACACTCAAAATTGGAAATATTCAACGGCTCGTATATGAAACTTAGCGACTTACACTCAGTGTACACCCAGTGTTAACCAGTATTACACACTAGTAAATTCTACGTAACGCGCGAAAACAATAATTCTGTAGCGTTTTCATTGTCACATCTCACGTCGACGGGATTAAACGCGCGCGCGCGTAACAACTTATCTTACTGCTAACTCAGCGACTAAACACACAACGACTTTGACAATTGACAGATGATTAAACAATTGTGAGTTATGACGGACTTAACTGTATGGGTCAACTACTGAAACTGTATTGTTTACTATCTTATTCATTATACTGGACATGAGATGACGAAGTATCTTAAGCAGCACTTTATACCCCCACTTAGAACTTGATTAGTCACGAACAATAGAATCATCAAAAACCAATACAATAAAACATCTTGATCAATTAATGCCTAGCAGCACCAGACAGCAGCCGTGTTTGACCATTGTTAATGATCTGGCCCGGCGCGCGCTACATTTCGAGAAGAAAGCGGCGCGCGCTACTTCGAAGAAATTTAGACGAGTAACATCCGTCAACAGCCGTGTACCTTTTTCGACTCCGTGGAGTCCCTGATGGACTTTTGTTTATTTTTGTTAATAATCGGACCAACCTTTCTTTCTCGAAACATTTTTTTTTAAAGAGAGGCTGGGCATAGAAAGCCTTCACCTAACCATGTGCTTTCGCGCCGCTGCGGGCGCGCTTGTTTCACAAGTCAAGAAGGCGGGCGCGCGCTACTGCAAGCGCAAGGGCTCTGGATAGAGCAATAGAAAGCCCACTAGAGGATAGCATTAAGATGCTTTGCCTACCTCTGGGATGAGGGGGGGTTTATTGGAGACAACAGTGTGAATTGTGGAGGACGGTGGTGGTAATGATCTGAATGGGAATACCGCGCTTTGGTACCAGATGAGTTTATAGATCAGTTAGGCAAGGCTGCATTTGTAATGTGTTAATGCGCTAAGTTACGCCAGTCTGATCCAGTTCTTCTGGTACTATTAAGCGTTTGGTGCGGTTTGTGAAGTTGACGATTGTGGTAATGTGTTGTATCACGCGGTGACCCCCACTGCATGCCGCTTCACTTCCCCTGTAGCGTCTTCGACGCTACAGGGGGAGCCGCGCACTTCGTGCGCGGCGGGTCATACAACGTATGACAAGTAATGTGGTGGTTGTCGAATATGTCGTTGACCGAGAGGTAGTAGTCTCGAAACATGTATCCTATTGTATTTCATTATAGTATTAGGATGTGAAGATATACTAAATATTACAACGAAATAGAGGTATACCAAATTGGCCCTTGATATTAACTATAACCGTGTTGATGGTTTTAAATTTTGTATGTTGTAAATATTTTAGTTTGTGAAGCGTTTACTCCTCCCCCTCAGCAAGACAGTTAGATTGTAGATTAATGATAATAATTGTCAAATGACGTTATATATTATATAACAGTTATAAATGTTCACTAGTTGTAGAGCGATTTCAAGAGTAGTGGTCCACAGGGGTCCGAAAAAGCCGTACAGGCACTTGGGTCCTTATCCTTGTCACTAATCTCAATTGGATTCGGTTTACACAACACATGAACATTTAGACGTACACATTGACACGATATTTATTAGAAAGCAAAAAGTATAAAATAATACGTGCGTGCGCGGCTTGAGCCGCGCCGCATAAGAACGGATGCGTGCAGGGGCTGGAGTACGCTTGTATGTAGATTAATAAAATGTTGCATTGTAAATATTTAGAATTGACGATATATTATGATCTAATAGTAAATTTTACAAAGCTGGCTTTGGATTTAGGTAAGATTATAATTTATTTAAAAAAAAACACGGATAGTTTTAAATTTATTTTTATTTGTCGTATAATCATTTGTATCACGCGGTGACCCCCACTGCCGCTTCACTATAGTAGTAGTCTTCACTGTAGTAGTCTTCGACGCTACAGGGGGAGCCGCGCACTTCGTGCGCGGCGGGTCATACAACGTATGACAAATAATCATAAACAATTTAATCCTGTTTTCAAGAATGCGCGGCTTTGGCGGCCAGTTATTGACTTATACATTAAATTGAATTTTAAATAGAAATGTAAATATATTAAAGTTTAAAACTTTCAAAACGGAGGCTTATAAATATTATTATATTATGATTGTAAAATAAAGGATAAAAATTTTAAATTTGTTTCACTAAAATTTGTTTCACTTATGATTGTAAAATAAAGGATAAAATTTTAAATTTGTTTCACTAAAATTTGTTTCACTAATAACATCAAACATACATTGTGCATATTTATTATCCCTAGCCTTCAATGTTTTGATTTTCAACACAGCTAATTATGTTTTGACAGTGTACTTGCTGGTTATATATATATTACGTACCTGGGGACCTCAGGCTATCATGTTAGGCGGAATGACAGGCTGAGCGCGGCCCAGTAAACGTGCTGGATGTCATGCAGTTGCTACCTGTCAAATCATATATTTATGTTTTTACAAGTTAAGTTTAAGATTGATTCATATTATGCTGAAAAAATTTAAATAAAGATTTTAATAAACATTGGCACCGTTGATAAAATAAATAATAAATTATTCACCATTTAATGTTCTTCCTTTAAATTGTTAACGCCCAAAACATTTAGTTATGACTGTTAACTTTGCTTAATAGATGACTAGCTCACATTTACACTTGATCTAGGTAAACTATAGGTAAAAATATAATATTAATCATAAGCTAAAATGTACTAATCTTTGTATTCTAAATGGGGAAAAGAAGAAACATTGTCAGTCAGTCGAGAAAATTGTCAGTCAGGTTATATGGCAGCTTTGAGGTTATATGGCAGCTTTGAGCTATTACTATTCATAAATTTAGCTGTAATTGAAATTTTTTGATGTGGTAAAAAGTAGTGTTCTGTGTTAAGGGAATACTTAAAACTTTGCCGTCATTGTGAAATGAAATTTTTACTTCCTACAGTACGGAGATAGATGATCAAGAATTGTTAATTTCCTCGAATAAATTTTTAACGAGTCGGTTTCCAGTATAGCATATATTAATCAAGTTATAAATATTATTCTAAATTGACGATATGAATGAAACAGGCAATTTCCATGCCATTGGACGAAATTTTACCGGATCTGTTCATAAGTGGACTTCATTTTACAAAGCGCCACTTCCTAGACGAGGTAATATTGCCACTTCATGGTTCAGTTGTGGTATTTTCCCGTTTTTTGAGGGTAAAAAATGCTTGATCCTTTAAGGTAAAGTTTGAGAGGCTACAGAGCAGTGGCGTAACTTTGCCTGTTGGCGCCCCCCCGCTCAGTGACGAAAAGCGCCCCCCTAAAAATTTTTGTGTCCCTAAAAAAAAAAAAAAAAAAAAAAAAAAAAAGTTCGGGTACTTTTTTTCTCGCCCCCTACAGCTTTTTGCTCCCCCTGAAGCAAAAAAGGGTACCCCAAATATTTTTTTCGCGTCGACCGAACGCTAAATTGGACAGGGAAATACACAAACAATGCGTTTTTTCAGTGAAAGGGCCTAAAATTCAGGAAAATTGCGCCCCCCTTATACGGCGCCCCCCCGCACAGCGGGATCTGCGGGGCCCTAAGTTACGCCACTGCTACAGAGCTACAGATAAGATACTTACTTAACTGGAGATTGGGTACATGTGAACTTTCTTTATACCGTAAACTTTGGTTTCCCTTGAGAAGCATGGTATATAATAGAGGTTTAACTGTACTTCTAGTCCTTCTACTCCTCGCCCCAAGTTTTAAGCTTTCAAGAAACTATGTTGATAAATTATTTGATAACTTTTTCAGAAAGGAATTAAAACCGTCCTGACGATTAGAGAGTTTGCACTTCCTTTTGAACCCAACTGTGACATTGTGTGAGTATAAGTCGTTAAACACATTTGGTAGTTAAATTATATTTTATGTTTGCTTCCATGGTAAATTGTGGTTGAAGGTGAATCGAGGCACTGTAAATGGTGAAAATTAAACTCATTAAACATATTTTAATCAATCAATAATTTCTCAATTATTTAATCAAGATCAATAATCTTAATATGTTTGAGAAAAGACAATTTTTGAGAAAAGATGAAAAAGTAATAAATCAACCTTCAGTTATCATCAGGTCAACATAACTGACACAGCTGATCAGGATCTCTTCAAACATTTTGCCAACATTGTCGATATCATATCCAATGGTCTTCAGCGAGGTATAGTACTTTAATCTAAACGATACGTATGAATAATATGATCATTTATTTGCTGCATTCCTCATTGTTTTATGTGAATCAGTCGATAGTTCTTTTACCAATGCTTCTAGAGAAATCAAAGCTAACCCCCATTTGCATTGTGTAATCATCAATGTTCATCATATCCTGCCCTTGAACCTCGTGCCCAGGACAGTTCTCAGACTGAATTATTGTTCATCGTTTTCTTACAAAATACAAACCAATAACTAATACTCCAGGAAAAGTCCTAGTCCATTGTCAAGCGGGAATGTCCAGAAGCGTATCCGGGATCATATCTTATATGATATCTGTTTTCAAATTAGACTATCAAACTGCCCTAAAAGTGGTAAGTGGATCTTTTCAGATTCTACTGACTTCCCTTTCTTTAGGCAGTCAATTATTGAGAACACATTAATTATCCTGATTCATACAATATGTTAATGTGATGCATTGTAATAATATAATCATCACAAATTGTGTCTCTTGATTGAATAGTTTGACTGACATAGTATATCTAAGAGTTTTGGTAACATGTAGAGTGCAGTAAAAATGATGTGATTTCAGATAAGAGAAAATCATCCCATGAGTTTTCCGAATCTAGGATTTGGAAAACAGTTGGGTAGTTGGGAGCAACATACAAAACCATCATGGACAGCCACACCAGCATATATCTATCACAGAGATAAGATTTTGGTAAGCTGACCTTGCTTATTACTATTTAAAGATAATATATTGAAAGTTCAAAGAATCTAAGTGAAATAAGTTCTTTTTGTTGTCCAAAAATAGGAGCAAACTTTCTGTTTGACTGATCCATGTGTAGTGTGTACCACGAAGGATGTTACGGAAACCCCTAATCACTTAGTAACTTAATTCTGCAAAAAGCTCAACTTGTGGTTTGTATCCTGAAAATACTTTTTTGTGGATCACTAAAAATTTAAATTAATTATTTGATAAAAATTTTCAATGGAGGATGATCATTGTAGTCAGTATTGTTAAGTTTAATAAGTAATAGTGTTTTCATCTCAGGACCAGGCAAACACAACCCAATTTTCTACAATAACAAAGATATTGAAGGGCAGAAAATGAATATGGCTGTTGGCCATATCCTAGAAAACTATATGTTTTGGGTTGTGTGAGACACTGATAGAGTATTTGTATAGTATAGTGAATTCAGGCACTGTTTGTTAAATTGTTGTATTTTTGTATTATTGTTGTTCTTGTTTTTGGCGAATTTTGCCATCCATAGATTATGGCTACTTGATATAGGGGGGGGGGGGGGGGGGGGGGGGGGGGGGGGGGGGGGGGGGGGGGGGGGGGGGTTCAAGAGGTCTGCTGTTTAACTCCGTAATTTTCTGACCCAGCAGATGATTGTAAAATTAAATTCGGTCTTTCAAGTCGCAGGTATTGGTATTGCTGTTTGGATATTTTTGTTCATCTAGGACCTTGGTGTTCATCCAGGCATCCATGTTCTGAAGCAGATTTTAGTCATATTATTGATAATTTGAACACTTTATGTAATCATATTATGGTAATATGAGCTCTTGACGTATAATAACGGACGATGGAGATTGGAGAAGGGGCTATAAATTCGGCTGTCGTGATATTTGGATGGCCTAAATGTTTGCATTACTTAAGATTTATTTGATTATTCTCTTATTTTTTAGACCTTGACTTCTGTAGATTAAAATATCCGACGCTAACTGTAAATTGTTTTTGGGTTTTTAATAAACTTTCATTTTGCCTCGAATTTTCAATGATGTACAGTGATTGTAATGAATAGAAACTATTTTAGTTATGGGAATTTGTTTGAAAATCTATTGTTGTCTTTCTAGCTTCAGATGGTACAACATTTAGTAAGAGAAATTATCCTTCATATCGTATCATAAAGACCATAGAGTGTACGAGTAAACATGGCAAGTTAAAAGTTTCACCAGTAAAGTTCTATGAACCGTATCCACCTAGCAGATATAGCAACCATCACCGCCTCCCCTAACGAAGTGACCCCCGCTATCACCCCAATCACCTTCATCCTAAAATCAAACCACTGTCTCAGCACCTGATAACAACCCTGCTTGTGTACTGCCAGGGATAAACCCTCCAGCACTGTTACACTTGCCTTGTTAACCCCACACTCTGGTACAACCACCCTGCAGCAGGAGTCCGGCAGATGAGAGGTGTTCCAGGAGCCCTGAACCAGGGTGTTGTTAGCCCAGTCGAGGGGCGTGGTCACCCCACAGCATTGGTCACGTGACTGGAGAGTGTCCAGGTCCCACTGCACCTGCATGTTGTTAGAGTAGTTTGCCATGTGTTCCTCTAGTTGGGTGGTCACTCCGTGCAGTGTTTTAACTCTGTATATCAGCGTGAAACACACTCCCGCTATCTTGGCTGTTGTCACTAGAGCCAACATGATGTTCATTGCGTAGAGTAGCTTGTAGCTGTGGATTGTTATTATGCAAACAGCAAGGAAACCAGCCAGAGCTCCGAAGCAGGACACGAAGAATAGGAGGTACACCAGGGGGTGTTGGGTGGAGTTAAAATACTGCTCATATTTACCATCCGTGTAGAGGGTTATTGAGGCACCGATAAGGAGACATCCCGCGACCGTCGAGAATATGGAACTTGCTGTGAAGACACGTCGCCAGTACTGCTCGAGCTTTCTTTCTTTTATTTGTGCTCCAGGAATGTGAGGAATGCTGTAACCCATCCTGCTGCTAGTTGGGAGGTTAATCATGTTTTTGGAATATGTATTGAGGTATTAATATAATACTACATGGGTACGACAGACAGACTACCTTTCAAGGAGAGTATGCCGGGAAATTTTTTCTTCTTCAATATAACTTGATATTTAAGGATTTGAGTATTATGAGTTTTGATGATATAAAACTGAATTTGATACAAATTTGTATGTGGAAATAAACTGCTCAGAAGCGAAATCAGAGAGACAAAAAGACGATTTTAATGACGACAACAAACCCCGCAAAACAGAAGGCAACCTACACTAAACACTAAAACTTGCAACTTCCTTGTGAATATTGAGGGGTTCCTACAAATTTATTATATCATAGCTTGTGAACCTGTCTTACAGATCGATTTATTCATAACTAGAAACGCACTGGTTGAAACGCAGATATTTTCTTTTAAGTTTATATCGTAAACGATTTATTGGTGAACTACTAAATATTATAGAAATGTTACATGGTGTGTGATGTCATGTCACGTGGTGTGACCTCATGTCACGTGGTGTGACGTCATTTCGCGTTGCGTGTTTCTAGTTAAAACACGATTTATTGGTGAACTACTAGTACACTAAGTATTATTCATTTAGCAAGGTGTAAATAACGAGATGACTGAGCTGCCAAGTCTACATTCCTGCTTATATGTAAGTTAAATACCTGCTGTAAGTAAAATACCTTGCTGTAAGTAAAATACCTGCTGTATTATAGTAAGTTATATACCTGCTTGTTATTATAATATTATGTAAGTAAAGTACAAAAATACTTATTTTTTTAATTTCAGCTTTTAAGTACACCTACTTATACTAGTACTACCATTACCCTGATTATCTATCAAACATATCTTAGATGCAAGCTGAGAACGAAAGAATAACAGCTAAGTATAAACGACTGAAAGGAAGATATAATGAGCTGTTAGTTCAGACTACAAATAACAAGGACATGTTAGTAGACTGTTCAAATATTTTAGTTAATTGCCAAAAACTTTTATAATTTCAATATTGCCAGTTATTACAGAGACCAGTTGAGTTTTATGTTTCATCCTGGCCATCTGTTGTTTTATCTTTAGTTTCTATTATTTGTTATTGTAGTCTCATTTTTGTTACTCATCCTTCCCAGTCCTTTTCTAGAGTAATGTATTTGATAATATTTAATAAAATAGCATGTGATAAATTAAATCACTTTACTTTACGTCACGTGTTTCAGAGCTGTGAGGATAACTAGTTCCAGTGGAGACCTTGAGGAAAAGTCCACGCAAACAATCTTATCACGTGACCTGCAGGAGAGCACTCAGGAGAAACACTCCACAAAACTACTCCACACTCACTCTCTTCTAGTAAGGTTAGTACTCAGGAGAAACACTCCACAAAACTACTCCACACTCACTCTCTTCTAGTCAGGTTAGTACTCAGGAGAAACACTCCACAAAACTACTCCACACTCACTCTCTTCTAGTCAGGTTAGTACTCAGGAGAAACACTCCACAAAACTACTCCACACTCACTCTCTTCTAGTCAGGTTAGTACTCAGGAGAAACACTCCACAAAACTACTCCACACTCACTCTCTTCTAGTAAGGTTAGTACTCAGGAGAAACACTCCACAAAACTACTCCACACTCACTCTCTTCTAGTCAGGTTAGTACTCAGGAGAAACACTCCACAAAACTACTCCACACTCACTCTCTTCTAGTCAGGTTAGTACTCAGGAGAAACACTCCACAAAACTACTCCACACTCACTCTCTTCTAGTAAGGTTAGTACTCAGGAGAAACACTCCACAAAACTACTCCACACTCACTCTCTTCTAGTCAGGTTAGTACTCAGGAGAAACACTCCACAAAACTACTCCACACTCACTCTCTTCTAGTCAGGTTAGTACTCAGGAGAAACACTCCACAAAACTACTCCACACTCACTCTCTTCTAGTAAGGTTAGTACTCAGGAGAAACACTCCACAAAACTACTCCACACTCACTCTCTTCTAGTCAGGTTAGTACTCAGGAGAAACACTCCACAAAACTACTCCACACTCACTCTCTTCTAGTCAGGTTAGTACTCAGGAGAAACACTCCACAAAACTACTCCACACTCACTCTCTTCTAGTCAGGTTAGTACTCAGGAGAAACACTCCACAAAACTACTCCACACTCACTCTCTTCTAGTCAGGTTAGTACTCAGGAGAAACACTCCACAAAACTACTCCACACTCACTCTCTTCTAGTCAGGTTAGTACTCAGGAGAAACACTCCACAAAACTACTCCACACTCACTCTCTTCTAGTTAGGTTAGTATTCAGGAGAAACACTCCACAAAACTACTCCACACTCACTCTCTTCTAGTTAGGTTAGTACTCAGGAGAAACACTCCACAAAACTACTCCACACTCACTCTCTTCTAGTTAGGTTAGTACTCAGGAGAAACACTCCACAAAACTACTCCACACTCACTCTCTTCTAGTTAGGTAAGTACTCAGGAGAAACACTCCACAAAACTACTCCACACTCACTCTCTTCTAGTCAGGTTAGTACTCAGGAGAAACACTCCACAAAACTACTCCACACTCACTCTCTTCTAGTCAGGTTAGTACTCAGGAGAAACACTCCACAAAACTACTCCACACTCACTCTCTTCTAGTAAGGTTAGTACTCAGGAGAAACACTCCACAAAACTACTCCACACTCACTCTCTTCTAGTCAGGTTAGTACTCAGGAGAAACACTCCACAAAACTACTCCACACTCACTCTCTTCTAGTCAGGTTAGTACTCAGGAGAAACACTCCACAAAACTACTCCACACTCACTCTCTTCTAGTCAGGTTAGTACTCAGGAGAAACACTCCACAAAACTACTCCACACTCACTCTCTTCTAGTCAGGTTAGTATTCAGGAGAAACACTCCACAAAACTACTCCACACTCACTCTCTTCTAGTTAGGTTAGTACTCAGGAGAAACACTCCACAAAACTACTCCACACTCACTCTCTTCTAGTTAGGTAAGTACTCAGGAGAAACACTCCACAAGACTACTCCACACTCACTCTCTTCTAGTCAGGTTAGTACTCAGGAGAAACACTCCACAAAACTACTCCACACTCACTCTCTTCTAGTCAGGTTAGTACTCAGGAGAAACACTCCACAAAACTACTCCACACTCACTCTCTTCTAGTAAGGTTAGTACTCAGGAGAAACACTCCACAAAACTACTCCACACTCACTCTCTTCTAGTCAGGTTAGTACTCAGGAGAAACACTCCACAAAACTACTCCACACTCACTCTCTTCTAGTAAGGTTAGTACTCAGGAGAAACACTCCACAAAACTACTCCACACTCACTCTCTTCTAGTCAGGTTAGTACTCAGGAGAAACACTCCACAAAACTACTCCACACTCACTCTCTTCTAGTTAGGTTAGTACTCAGGAGAAACACTCCACAAAACTACTCCACACTCACTCTCTTCTAGTCAGGTTAGTACTCAGGAGAAACACTCCACAAAACTACTCCACACTCACTCTCTTCTAGTCAGGTTAGTACTCAGGAGAAACACTCCACAAAACTACTCCACACTCACTCTCTTCTAGTCAGGTTAGTACTCAGGAGAAACACTCCACAAAACTACTCCACACTCACTCTCTTCTAGTTAGGTTAGTATTCAGGAGAAACACTCCACAAAACTACTCCACACTCACTCTCTTCTAGTTAGGTAAGTACTCAGGAGAAACACTCCACAAAACTACTCCACACTCACTCTCTTCTAGTCAGGTTAGTACTCAGGAGAAACACTCCACAAAACTACTCCACACTCACTCTCTTCTAGTTAGGTAAGTACTCAGGAGAAACACTCCACAAGACTACTCCACACTCACTCTCTTCTAGTCAGGTTAGTACTCAGGAGAAACACTCCACAAAACTACTCCACACTCACTCTCTTCTAGTCAGGTTAGTACTCAGGAGAAACACTCCACAAAACTACTCCACACTCACTCTCTTCTAGTCAGGTTAGTACTCAGGAGAAACACTCCACAAAACTACTCCACACTAACTCTCTTCTAGTCAGGTTAGTACTCAGGAGAAACACTCCACAAAACTACTCCACACTAACTCTCTTCTAGTCAGGTTAGTACTCAGGAGAAACACTCCACAAAACTACTCCACACTCACTCTCTTCTAGTCAGGTTAGTACTCAGGAGAAACACTCCACAAAACTACTCCACACTCACTCTCTTCTAGTTAGGTAAGTACTCAGGAGAAACACTCCACAAGACTACTCCACACTCACTCTATTCTAGTCAGGTTAGTACTCAGGAGAAACACTCCACAAAACTACTCCACACTCACTCTCTTCTAGTCAGGTTAGTACTCAGGAGAAACACTCCACAAAACTACTCCACACTCACTCTCTTCTAGTCAGGTTAGTACTCAGGAGAAACACTCCACAAAACTACTCTACACTCACTCTCTTCTAGTTAGGTTAGTATTCAGGAGAAACACTCCACAAAACTACTCCACACTCACTCTCTTCTAGTTAGGTTAGTACTCAGGAGAAACACTCCACAAAACTACTCCACACTCACTCTCTTCTAGTTAGGTAAGTACTCAGGAGAAACACTCCACAAAACTAATCCACACTCACTCTCTTCTAGTCAGGTTAGTACTCAGGAGAAACACTCCACAAAACTACTCCACACTCACTTCCTTCTAGTCAGGTTAGTACTCAGGAGAAACACTCCACAAAACTACTCCACACTCACTCTCTTCTAGTAAGGTTAGTACTCAGGAGAAACACTCCACAAAACTACTTCACACTCACTCTCTTCTAGTTAGGTTAGTACTCAGGAGAAACACTCCACAAAACTACTTCACACTCACTCTCTTCTAGTCAGGTTAGTACTCAGGAGAAACACTCCACAAAACTACTTCACACTCACTCTCTTCTAGTCAGGTAAGTAAGGAATCAGGAGGTCCATTTAAAAAAGGTGACGACTTATACAAAAATAAAAAATGTTCACACTGATAACGATTTGAAATTCGGTTGCCTTTCATGACCGCATTATTCCAGCCATTCGTATATGCATGATAATAAGCTGATTTCAGGAAATACGAGAAAGAACTAGCGACCAACACAGAAAACTCCGAGAAGATCTCCAACCTCAAGATTTCAAACTCAAAACTAGAAACTGAGCTCCGTACCGCCCGAGAAAAGCTCCACAAAACTTCCGTTGCCTTAGAAAAATACAAGCAACAAACCGAGAAAAAGCTCCAAAACGACAAAGAAGATATCTTTAAAACAACAGCAGAAAGAGACTCAATCCGTTACGAATACGACAAGCTAAAATCAGAAATGAGAGGGATAGACAAGAATTTTTTTGACGAGATAGAAGATTTAAAGTATGCTCTGCAGGAATCCGCAAAGTTGAACAAAATTTATGAGAAGACGTTACAGAGTGTATGTAAGAAAACAAAGGTTGATTATCAGGAGGCCTTGTTGAATGTGGTCTCGAAATGTAGAACATCTGGTATTGACAAGGGGTCTTGAGTTATGTAGAACATCTGGTATTGACAAGGGGTCTTGAGTTATGTAGAACATCTGGTATTGACAAGGGGTCTTGAGTTATGTAGAACATCTGGTATTGACAAGGGGTCTTGAGTTATGTAGAACATCTGGTATTGACAAGGGGTTTTGAGTTATGTAGAACATCTGGTATTGACAAGGGGTTTTGAGTTATGTAGAACATCTGGTATAGACAAGGGGTCTTGAGTTATGTAGAACATCTGGTATAGACAAGGGGTCTTGAGTTATGTAGAACATCTGGTATTGACAAGGGGTTTTGAGTTATGTAGAACATCTGGTATAGACAAGGGGTCTTGAGTTATGTAGAACATCTGGTATTGACAAGGGGTTTTGAGTTATGTAGAACATCTGGTATAGACAAGGGGTCTTGAGTTATGTAGAACATCTGGTATTGACAAGGGGTCTTGAGTTATGTAGAACATCTGGTATTGACAAGGGGTCTTGAGTTATGTAGAACATCTGGTATTGACAAGGGGTCTTGAGTTATTATTTCTCAGCTTTGTGCTTCACAATTCTTTAAATAAGCCATTTAAAAAATAATACATGTTCTTAATTTAAATATGATTGAACAGTAAAAAACTGTTCGACATTACAATATTATGTGCATTGCAGGGGTTGACACCATTTACTGACGATTTTATTTGAGCAGGATTCTATTATATTATTTGTATAAACTATAAAATTAAAATAATAACCATAAAATCATACTTTATTTAACTTGTAAGTTGAGGTATTTTATTTTTCGTTTGTTGGGTGTACTTTATCTAAATTTCTAAGATTTGTTTCACTGCAAAATGCAAATGCTAGTTTTAATGACACATTTCTTCTTACTACCTTACTCTATTTCATGTACATCGTAATAAAATAATTGTTAGTATAGTATCACTAAACCACGTGATCACTAAACCACGTGATCACTAAACCACGTGATAACTAAACCACGTGATCACTAAATCACGTGACCACTAAATCACGTGACCACTAAATCACGTGATCACTAAATCACGTGACCACTAAACCACGTGATCACTAAATCACGTGACCACTAAATCACGTGACCACTAAACCACGTGATCACTAAACCACGTGATCACTAAATCACGTGACCACTAAACCACGTGACCACTAAACCACGTGACCCCCCTCACCAGGCATGCCAGATGACTTGAAAATATACGCATCATGTGTAGTTGCACCCTGTAGACCTGTACTACTCTTCCTTAAAGAACACTGCATAGACTACTCTTACACTGAAGTTAACGTACTGAAGAACGAACATCTTACCCCGGATTTCCTGGAGAAGAACCCTAAACATACCCTGCCTGTAATACAACATAATGGTGTCTGTATTTCTGAGGGGTGAGAGGAATTATATTATTATATTACATAATTATTATATTATTATATTACATAATTTAGTTGTTTCATTTTAATATTCAGTTTGAATGGTTCATTGTTTTGATAGTGATTTGTTTATAAACAATTGGTTTGTTTAAAATGGTTGTGTTGAGTGTACCTGATACACATTGTGAGTTGTGACAATATCGATATATATCGGTCCAGCAAATTAAACATATTTATAAAATCATGCAACATTCCGGACAAAATTACAGCACTATTAGTATTATTGATCATACATCCGGATCCCGATGGCCCCATCGCGGCATTCTCGTGGCACTATGGCAGCCAGAGTGCCGCCATAGTGCCGCCAGGGTAAATTCCACAATTTAATTTAGCTCACACTTTTTCAGACCAGCGATTATAAACTACCTGCATGACACATACAGAGTTCAGAGACTGTCAAAAGAGATGCAAAGTCAGGTAGATCAGATGGTATCCTGGAGTTGCGAGCAGCTACATTGGTGAGATTCCTGGAATTCCTAACGTTATTTAGGCTCTGCTCTTGAAACTGAGATAATATTCAACATCGTTTTTCAGTGGGGGACTTATATAACTATAACACTGTTATAGACATAATTCCAAAAACACTCGATATTTGGGACATGTAAAGTTTTAAATAATATGTAGCCACTAGTCTTAAAAGTGATTTTTAACCTTTATTTTAATTTATTAATAACTTACTTACTTTGAGTACTTTGAGTAGGTTTGGCTGGGATCGCTTCAGGACAACAGTATCAAGTACGTCCTCCTATCACTCCACAGGGGTCTTTTTGTAAGTACCATTCCAAGAGTGAGTTGTTGTTAGTAGCGGTGTATCCTTTAGTCGGAGGTGTGTCGGGGAATTCTTTAAGGAATTTAGCCAGTGACGATTTTAACAGGTCCAAAGTAGAGATGGAATTAATTTCTTTGGGGAGAAGATTCCACAGCTGTGCCGCTTTCACTCCAAACGAGTTTTCATAGTGAGTTGCCACAGAACGCTGTGATTTGTTGTTCAGTGCTGGTACAGTAGCTTTTATTCCATGTCAGGGGTTGTTTTTGAACAGCATGCCAATATCATTTGGGGCCAGGCCATTGAGAATTTTCCATGTGTGGATCAAGATGTACCTTTCTCGACGTCTCTGCAATGATATGATATCGAGTTTCGTGAGACGTTCCCAGTAGTCTAAACCACTGCATCCGTTAATGCGTCGGGTAAATTGTCGTTGGACGTTTTCTATAGCCTCTATGTCCATGGTCTTGGCTGGATTCCAGACAGGGCAGCAATATTCTAGCTTACTCCGCACCATGGTTTTGAAGAGGGTAAGCATGAGAAATTGTGATCTATCTTTGAAGACGCTAAGAACCCAGGATGACATAGTGCTTGCTGATTGGATCATTTTTTGGATGTGGGGAGTCCAAGAGCAGTCGTTTGATAAAATCACCCCCAAGTCCCTGACAGTTTCTGCTGGCTCAATTATTTGACCTGTTGTAAGAGTGTAACTGAGCAGATCATTTGTAAATGGCAGATTTCGTAGCAGAAGCGAATTATTGAGCGTATAGTTGAGGATCTCAAATTTGGCTTCATTGAGCTGCATATTGTTTCTTCGAGCCCAGGCAATGACATTGAAGAGGTCTTCTTGTAGTGATGCTTTGGTGGCCAAGTCCAATATTTTACCGATGAGTTTGGTGTCATCAGCAAATATCTTTCCAAGAGAGGTAAGCAGTGCGTCCAATTGGTCATCGATGTAGAGAATGAACAGAATCGGTCCCAACACTGTACCTTGTGGCACACCACTTATCACCAGCTGGAAGGATGACTTAGTTCCTTCAACGACCACTGTCTGGAGACGGTTTGTTAGGAATTCACTTAACCACTGGAGCATGTTTCCATGAATTCCGTAACGTTTTGCTTTTGCAAGTAGTATGTTGTGATCTACCTTATCGAACGCTTTGGCGTAATCGAGGTATATGACATCTACTTCTTCGCCACTGTTCAAGCTTTTCAATATGGTATCTACATGGTCTAAGAGTTGAGTTAGGCAGCTCCTCTTTTTGCGAAATCCATGTTGATGCGGTGAAAGACAGTTATTCGCTTCCATATGTTCGACAAGGTTGTTTCGTATCACTCTTTCGAAGATCTTGATGATATGCGATGTTATAGAAACAGGGCGGTAGTTGGCAGCCTCTGTGCGGTCACCCTTCTTGTAGACAGGGGTAATAAACTGCGTTTTCATGCTAGGAGGGATTACTCCAGTTTCAAAAGAATCTTGCCAGAGTAGAAATATGGGCTCGGACAATGTCTCTCTACATTTGGTCAGGATCCTAGCAGGGATATCACCATCAGGGGTTGATGAATACGGGTCCAGTTCCTTGATGGCTTCTGAGATATCGTTAACTGAGAATTGCATTTGATCGAGTTCCTTAACTGGCACAGGGTTCAATCCAGCAAGGCTTTCCTCGATGTGGGCTTCATTTGGGTCACTAAATACTTTTACATATTGGGCCTGGAGGAGCTCGGCCTTTTCCTTGGGGTCCGTGTGCAGTCGACCTTCTCTATCTCTGATGGGGGAGACAGAAGATTTGACTTTCGCAAACTTCTTTGCGTAGCTGTAGAAGTAACGTGGATTTGTCTTTATGGTAGTGACAGCTTTAGCCTCGCGTTCGTTGAGCTCGTTGATGATCAGCTCACTTATTTCAAATGCCAAGAGGTCCACTTCATTTCTAAGCTTTGCAAGGACGGGGGACGTAGGGTTTCTTTGAGTAATGGCATTCATGCGGGCGTTGATCTTCCTCTTTTTCCTTTTAAGCGTATACTTTTTACGACAATGCTGGTTTCTGTGCACTGGGGAAGCACCTGGCTTATTATTGTATGGGGAATTGAGAAGAGTGACCTGGAGCACAGTCAAACGGATGAGTTCCAAGAAATTACTCCCATTCTCATCGTCTTCACAGAGTCTTTTAAGTTCATTCCAATCTATTGTTGCTAGAAGTTCATTCATAGCTTCAAAGTCAGCGTTGTGATAATTTACTGCTCGAAAAGAGTCTTTATCTACAACTTCAGTTGAGGTTTGCTTGGGGCTGAGAGGGTTGTGACCTAGTAAAAGCTCAACAAGTCTATGATCAGACAGCTGGGTCTCACACACGTTCGTCTCGATTACGTCTTGGGGCTTGTTGGTGAGTATCAGGTCAATAATGTTGCTACCTCTAGTAGGTTCATGAATCATTTGACTTAGAAAGTTCATGTTCATGAAGTCGAGTAGGCCTGAGCAGGCTCTTTGATCCGATTGGGTTTGACCAGCGAGGACATTTGAATACTCCCAGTCTATATGTGGGAGATTAAAGTCTCCCATTATGTAGAGGTCCGGTGTTCTGTTATCGGAGGTGAGGGCGTCTAGTTTCTTTTGAACTAGGTCCAGAATTTCTTTGAAAGATTCTGTTGGAGCGTCCGGTGGGCGGTAAATAACTACAGCTAATGTATTCATTGAGTCTATGAAACAGTAAAGCATGCTGCAGTGTTTGTCACTATAACTAAAACAGTCTGAAAATAATAGTGACTCCTCAATGTAGAGCACACATAAACTATTGATAAACTTTTATTCTAATAAAGTTATAAATAATAGCCATGGTTTGAAATTGAAATAAACAATTTCAGGAACATTGGTTTTAGCTATGTGTATCCACAAATATACAGCGAGTTCGCGTTAGAAGACAGTACAAGTAATAACACGCTTATTGAAACTGGCATTAAGAAGGTTAGTTATTTTAGTCTGTCTTCAGTTTTATTATTATTTTAGTGTGACGTCATGACACGTGGTGTGACGTCATGACACGTGGTGTGACGTCATGACACGTGGTGTGACGTCATGACACGTGGTGGTTAGAGGACAGTACAAGTAATAACAAGCTTATTGAAACTGGCATAAAGAAGGTTAGCTATTTTAGACTGTCTTCACTTTTATATTCATATTTATATTTTGTTTTTAATCTTTGTTCAGTTATGACTTTATGATAAACTATTTGGAGGATAATTTTACTAGATAACCTATGGCTTGTAAAGTATTTGTAAAGTATTTGGATCCTATCTAGATATAATATAATATGTACATACTCTGATAATCACGCTACATGCTGAACTATAATAATACAATTTCTTAATGAAGTTTAAATTAATTTTCAGAACAGCTGTGTTGATACTTCTAAATTCAACACTATGTATTATAACATTGGCAGAATACGTTGTTACTTTACAAATCTTATCTCATATTAGTATTTTCAATGCTACATTTCAAACAGCTAAATTTGGGTATTACTGTACATCGTACAAGTTAACTAGTTAGTGAGGTTATACAAAACATAACATTGTATAATGTATACATAATTACTGTTAACAGTACACTATAATATGTATTTAGTATTATGTACACCTTATGTATTGTTTTTGCAATAATTAATTTGTAACCAAAACACGTACTTATCTTACTGAAGTTTTCAATATCACTACTTATTTATTATTAGGACACCTTGATTAGCACAGCCCATAAGTATACATTATATATTGGAACAATACACGTCTTAAGTTCTATCATTATCTACTGTAAAATTTAGCTGCATATACAACAAATAAATACGCAAACTTGAATTCTTTGATAAAACAACTGACATCTCACAAAATATGTTGATTTAGCACTACGAATTTAATATTGGTATTGTTATTCGGTAAATCGTATAATCTCATTTTCAATGTAACATTCAATAAAATATGTTAGTGTCATTCAACACAAATATTCTTATCACAGATAAACTCGGTGTTATCAATCATACCGCATAACTCTGATTGAATCTTCAAATTCAGCCAACATATAATCATTCAATTTTTCAAATCCTGAAAAGATGTGGTTATCATCTGAACTATATAATATAACAACACAATATACCCTTGCTCTTGATATCTGCCGGTAAAGAATAGATAGGTCCACATAATTAGCAACATCGTATAACACAATAACTGCTGGGTACTCAGCTGAATAACAACTTTTAACATTACACCACTCTATTTTATTATTATCAACACTACATCGTTCTTCTATTACCTTTTGAATTATTCTTCTTGTATTATATACTATACCTATTTTAATCACGTCTGTGTTACATAATTTATCTAGCTCTTCATTCAAGATATCAGTAACCACACTAAAATCCTTCTCATTTATTATCTTATAAATAACATGCACTACAATCTGTGGTCCGTGAATAAAGTGTCCTTGTTTTATCATTGGAATAGTATCGTCTCTTTCTTCTTGAAGAACTTGTAGAATTATGTGCTCTCTGATCTTAGATAGAATGTCAGTAATGTCAGAAGTATTTCTTAAGTTCAAAGATAGAGTTACAATTCTTTCAGGGGGCAAGTTTGTTAAGAATGAGTAAAATCGTTTTCTTCGTTTTCTATAAGATGATAATTCTAAGCTGTATGCCTGAGTGAAATCACAAGCGATAACACAGTTAGTGAGTGCCCCGACAGTCAGCAGTAAGTCGCGCTCTGTAAACATCTTTCGTGCTAACGGACCCCTCATACCCTGCCAGTCATCAAAAAATACGTGAATGTTCCTATACATCAGTTTAGTCACACTATTATTATATGTGAAACGTGACAAAGATGAGATCCTAACTATTACCACCCTGCTTTCACTTTCTAATACCACCTGTTCTGTGTACTCTCTACTATATACCATGGACATGTTATTAACTATCACTTCGTTACTGATTTCAGCTTTATCTAAAGCATCTTGATAACGTTTACATGAAATGTTATCATCTGAGAAAATGTACAACACAGCTCTGTTATCCACATTTGATTTGATCACTTTTATGATCTTAGCCAACAAGATGATAGTTTTCCCTGAACCTGCTGGTCCATTAATTACCAGCAGGTTCTGATCTCTGTTGAAAGCATCACGTTGTTCCACAGTCAAGTATTCTATACCGAGCATGTCTTTGAAAATGTTAATGCCATCGTCAATATTTGCAGACTTTATATCAGTTGCTTTCATCACATTAGGATTTGGTAGTCGGTTTTTGCTGAGAAATGTAATATTTCCTTTCTTCAACTCGTCGTCAATGTCCATTATAGCTTTTCCCAAGCTACACTTCAGTTCATCACATCGGTTTTTATCAGTACAGTAGATAGCTACCAATACTTGCTTCATTTCCTGGTGTTTGGCGAGAAAAGCTTCAGTTTGAACAATGCTAGATATCGAACCTAACACGTCATGTTGTTTCCACCAGCTTGAGAAATCTGGAAAATCCTCTTTGCACAATATCTGCTTTTTGGTCTGTTCATCCATGTTCTGAAATTGATCACGACTGGTGTTAGGAAACGCGGACAGGCATATTATTGAGCATTGATGATCTGCTTCCATTCCAGCGAAAACTTGCTCTACAAGACCATTTATCATTGATTTTGTCTTTTCAAGTTGTTCGAGTGAGCCTTTAAGTGCTCCTGTCAATTTCTTTCTCTGCTCCTCTGTTAGTTCACTATCTTCATCAATAGGGACGTTCTTCACTTCAATAATGACAACATAGTTCTTCCCGATAACAACAAAGTCACATTCTGTTTTTTGTGCAGCCATACCTTTACATTGATCACACTTTCTCCTGTCATGACTTTTATCACAAATTCGGTATTGATGATGGGTGTACTCGAAGCTATGAAGAACCACACACCTTTCCTCTGGCAATCTCTCCAAAGCCCGGTATGTCAGCACCTCAGCCTCATAGTTTGCTTGTTTGAATTTCTCATCATCAAATTTACTGCTGGATGCTCCCTCTTCGTCTTTGTAAAAGTCAATGTAGGTCTGTTTGGGGGCAGGCGGTAACATAATCGGATATTGGTCTTTAAACTCGCAAAACTTTTCACATATTTCTCTGCCTTTGTTTCTATACTCTTCCAGCGTATTCATCTCTGTGAAAGTTGAATAAAATCAAACATTGTAAGTTGTAGGACCCTACAATTATGATGGAGAATCTAGCACAGTGGCTACCCGGCCGGAGCTAAATGTATCAATAGTATCAATTCTATAAGAATTGCTAGATTTTATAACATAAATCATAATATACCTAGTTAATGTTTTACTACAAAAAGATAATGTTTACAGATATAAGTATGTACCGACCGCAAGTTGTTTTTTCTCTATCTGTACCCGATTGATCTCCTTTCTGTTTCTTTTTATGCTTTCCTTTCCCCATCTTGATGTTATATCTGTTTGTAACGAGTTTTGATTACTGACTTTTCTGAAAAATGTTTACCAATTTAGCAGAATTTAATGTGATCACAACTTGTACACGGCAACTTTTTACCAGAGATTATATTGATATTTACAGCTATTTGGCTATTATAATAAACCTCTGATGTAAGATATTGAATCCTCTTAAAACTCACACAATCTATTCTTAATCCGTATCGTTCCTACCTGACTTTAAAAAGTGAACAGTTCGTCTCAGCAGATCTAGACAAAGTGAGGAGGAGGAGGAGGGTAAAATCAGGCAATATCACAGAAAATAAGAAATATTATAATGCCTGGCTGTAACAGTTAGGTAAGTAACTAAAATAGGTATCCAGTTCAAACAGAGTCTGCTGAGAAACAAACTGCTGATCAGCACAATAAGAATTACGTAAGAGAGAACGGAGTTTGCGAAGCTAATGTAAGGATGTAGATTGTAGGACCGTAATAACAGAATAGGATAATGTGCGTCATAGTAGTCACGTGCAGGTCACGTGTAGGTCACGTGTAGGTCACGTGCAGGTCACGTGCAGGTCACGTGGGACTGGCTATCTCTCTCTGAGTAGCTGGATAGAGGACACTGTTGAGGTCAGCTGTTATTCCCCTTCTCACATTACTGTAGAAGTGTCCGCTTACTGAATTATCATATTTTATGATTTGTGAATAAATAATGAAGTTTATATAAATACCCCAAATACTAATCTCACTATCATCAGTCATCTCACACTGCTAAACATTAAATATTAAGGGGGGGGGGGGGGGGGGGGGGGGGGGGTGCGCGGGACGGATTGTAACACAACTTATTTTCTCTCCAGTAAGAGCACCTCTCCTTTTTACCGAACCTTTACAGTACAGAACCAACACACAGAATTATTAGACTCTCAGACTGTGGTGTTATCTGACCCCTGGTTTAGCCCCTTCTTCTAACTGAACATTTCCACCCACTTTTTATTTCTTATGTTCTTAAAGTACGTGCTAAGATGCCTAGCATTCTTTGTAAATTATAAGGTATTTACACCATTTAAATGTTCACTGTGCTAGTTGCTAATGAGATATGTTAACAAATGTGGTCTAAGATGCTGACCCAGGGGTGTAGCAAGAGGGGGGGGGGGGGGGCGCCCCTGCCCTGACCCAGGGTGTAGGAAGAGGGGGGGGGGCACCCCTGCCCTGACCCAGGGTGTAGGAAGAGGGGGGGCACCCCTGCTCTAACCCAGGGGTGTAGGAAGAGGGGGGGCGCCCCTGCCCTGACCCAGGGGTGTAGGAAGAAGAGGGGGCTGCCATGACCTGACCCAGGGGTGTAGGAAGAAGAGGGGGCTGCCATGACCTGACCCAGGGGTGTAGGAAGAAGAGGGGGCTGCCATGACCTGACCTAGGGTTGTAGGAAGAGGGGGGGGCTGCCATGACCTGACCCAGGGTGTAGGAAGAGGGGGAGGCGGGGGGGGGGGGGGGGCACCCCTGCCCTGACCCAGGGGTGTAGGAAGAAGAAGGGCTGCTATGACCTGACCCAGTGGTGTAGGAAGAAGAGGGGGCTGCCATGACCTGACCCAGGGGTGTAGGAAGAAGAGGGGGCTGCCATGACCTGACCTAGGGTTGTAGGAAGAGGGGGGGGGGGGCTGCCATGACCTGACCCAGGGGTGTAGGAAGAGGGGGGCGCCCCTGCCCTGACCCAGGGTGTAGGAAGAGGGGGGGCACCCCTGCCCTGACCCAGGGGTGTAGGAAGAAGAGGGGGCTGCCATGACCTGACCCAGGGGTGTAGGAAGAAGAGGGGGCTGCCATGACCTGACCCAGGGGTGTAGGAATAAGAGGAGGCTGCCATTACCTGACCCAGGGGTGTAAAAAGAGGGGGGGCACCCCTGCCCTGACCCAGGGGTGTAGGAAGAAGAGGGGGCTGCCATGACCTGACCTAGGGTTGTGAGAAGAAGAGGGGGCTGCCATGATCTGACCTAGGGTTGTAGGAAGAGGGGGGGGGGCGCCCCTGCCCTGGCCCAGGGTGTAGGAAGAAGAGGGGGCTGCCATGACCTGACCTAGGGTTGTAGGAAGAGGGGGGCTGCCATGACCTGACCCAGGATGTAGGAAGAAGGGGGGGCACCCCTGCCCTGACCCAGGGGTGTAAGAAGAGGGGGGGCACCCCTGCCCTGACCCAGGGGTGTAGGAAGAAGAGGGGGCTGCCATGACCTGACCCAGGGGTGTAGGAAGAAGAGGGGGCTGCCATGACCTGACCCAGGGGTGTAGGAAGAAGAGGGGGCTGCCATGACCTGACCCAGGGGTGTAGGAAGAAGAGGGGGCTGCCATGACCTGACCCAGGGGTGTAGGACGAAGAGGGGGCTGCCATGACCTGACCTAGGGTTGTAGGAAGAGGGGGGCTGCCATGACCTGACCCAGGGGTGTAGGAAGAGGGGGGCGCCCCTGACCTGACCCAGGGGTATAAGCAGAGGGGGGGGGGTACCCTGCCCTGACCCAGGGGTGTAGGAAGAAGAAGGGGCTGCCATGACCTGACCCAGGGGTGTAGGAAGAAGAGGGGGCTGCCATGACCTGACCCAGGGGCGTAGGAAGAAGAGGGGGCTGCCATGACCTGACCTAGGGTTGTAGGAAGAGGGGGGGCTGCCATGACCTGACCCAGGGGTGTAGGAAGAGGGGGGCGGCACCCCTGCCCTGACCCAGGGGTGTAGGAAGAAGAGGGGGCTGCTATGACCTGACTCAGGGGTGTAGGAAATAGAGGGGGCTGCCATGACCTGACCCAGGGGTGTAGGAAGAAGAGGGGGCTGCCATGACCTGACCCAGGGGTGTAGGAAGAAGAGGGGGCTGTCATGACCTGACCTAGGGTTGCAGGAAGAGGGGGGGCTGCCATGACCTGACCTAGGGGTGTAAAAAGAGGGGGGGGGGGGGCTGCCATGACCTGACCCAGGGGTGTAGGAAGAAGAGGGGGCTGCCATGACCTGACCTAGGGTTGTAGGAAGAGGGGGGGCTGCCATGACCTGACCCAGGGGTGTAAGAAGAGGGGGGGCACCCCTGCCCTGACCCAGGGGTGTAGGAAGAAGAGGGGGCTGCCATGACCTGACCCAGGGGTGTAGGAAGAAGAGGGGGCTGCCATGACCTGACCCAGGGGTGTAGGAAGAAGAGGGGGCTGCCATGACCTGACCCAGGGGTGTAGGAAGAGGAGGGGGGCTGCCCTGCCCTGACCTGATACCGTCAAATAGATTAGGATTAAACACCTACGATCGGACAGTCCTTTAAGTAATTCAACAAAGTTACATCACAACATTATTAATAATATACTCAGATTTACCGCGTCCTTTTCTTTCCACAAATAGGACTTTAAAACACATTTTAAAATGTAATCAATCAAACAATTAAATGCAAACCCCGATTTACCACAGCTTTTCCTTTTCTCTCAAGCTCCGCGGTAAATTTGGGTATTATTGTACATTGTACAAGTAAACTAGTTAGTGAGGTTATAAAAAACATAACTTTGTATACATAATTACTGTTAACAGTACACTATTATATGTACACCTTATGTATTGTTTTTGCAGTTATTAATTGAACCTAATTTATTTGTAACCAAAACACGTACCAGTTATCTTACTTAAGTTTTCAATATCACTACTTATTTATTATTAGGACACCTTGATTAGCACAGCCCACAGGTTTACAATATACAATTATATACATTGGAACAAAACACGTTATCATCGGTCATATTATTATCTACTGTAAAATTTAAATATTTTCAAATTGTGTGACAAAACACGTTATAATAAGTCATAATTCATATCATTATCTACTGTAAATTTTAAACAGTTTCAAACTGTGTGATGAAAATTGTATTTGTTGCAGGTATGTGAAGATCTGGACACGATTGAAAAGTCTTATCTACACAGTAATAAGGTAAGTTCTTCTGAAATCTGAAGAGAGTTTAACTTTAATGATAATTTAACTGGAATTTAGTATTGGTGTAGTAAATTTGTTTATTAAGTTGTTGTTGTTTGATTAATGTATTAAAAAAAGCGATTATGAATTTTCAGAGATTGTAATTTCTAATATCTCATTAAAGATGTATAGTCACTTTTTAATGTACAAGTTAGTGATAAATACTAATCTCTGACGATCTATTCCTTGATTTACTAATTAATTACTAATTAATTATTATTTACTAATTAATTACTAATTAATTACTGATTTCCTCAGAGTTGGCTGCTAGGAGTAAGAACAACAGCTGATTTCACAATAGCAAGTATCGTCGTCGTGCTCGAACTGGTCAACTTTGATTTTAAAATGTGGCCCAATGTTATCAGTAAGTTTTAACATTTTTGTGGATGATTTTAAACTGCTGGCTGTCACAATGTTTCTTTCCTTTTTTTCTATTAATTTTTTGGTCGAGAAATAAATTTAAAGTGGAGGAGGGAAACTTTTAAATGGAGTCATATCAAAAAATCTAATTAATTAATTAATTAATTAAATTAATAACCTTCTCTTGTAGGCTGGTTGGAGAGAGTGCGTAGCCTGCCCCACTGGGAGGAAGTTCACAAGTTTCACGACGATGTAGTGAGACAAATCAGAGAACAGAACGGTACTTCTGATTATCTTTAGAGTGAGAACTGAACGGTACTTCTGATTATCTTTAGAGTGAGAACTGAACGGTACTCCTGATTATCTTTAGAGTAAGAACTGAACGGTACTTCTGATTATCTTTAGAGTGAGAACTGAACGGTACTCCTGATTATCTTTAGAGTAAGAACTGAACGGTACTTCTGATTATCTTTAGAGTGAGAACTGAACGGTACTTCTGATTATCTTTAGAGTGAGAACTGAACGGTACTTCTGATTATCTTTAGAGTGGGAACTGAACGATACTTCTGATTATCTTTAAAGTGAGAACTGAAGTGTACTTCTGATTATCTTTAAAGTGAGAACTGAACGGTACTTCTGATTATCCTTAGAGTGAGAACTGAACGGTACTTCTGATTATCTTTAGAGTGAGAACTGAACGGTACTCCTGATTATCTTTAGAGTAAGAACTGAACGGTACTTCTGATTATCTTTAGAGTGAGAACTGAACGGTACTCCTGATTATCTTTAGAGTAAGAACTGAACGGTACTTCTGATTATCTTTAGAGTGAGAACTGAACGGTACTTCTGATTATCTTTAGAGTGAGAACTGAACGGTACTTCTGATTATCTTTAGAGTAAGAACTGAACGGTACTTCTGATTATCTTTAGAGTGAGAACTGAACGGTACTTCTGATTATCTTTAAAGTGAGAACTGAAGTGTACTTCTGATTATCTTTAGAGTAAGAACTGAACGGTACTTCTGATTATCCTTAGAGTGAGAACTGAACGGTACTTCTGATTATCTTTAGAGTGAGAACTGAACGGTACTTCTGATTATCTTTAAAGTGAGAACTGAAGTGTACTTCTGATTATCTTTAAAGTGAGAACTGAACGGTACTTCTGATTATCCTTAGAGTGAGAACTGAACGGTACTTCTGATTATCTTTAGAGTGAGAACTGAACGGTACTTCTGATTATCTTTAGAGTGAGAACTGAACGGTACTTCTGATTATCTTTAAAGTGAGAACTGAACGGTACTTCTGATTATCTTTAAAGTAAGAACTGAACGGTACTTCTGATTATCTTTAAAGTGAGAACTGAACGGTACTTCTGATTATCTTTAAAGTGAGAACTGAACGGTACTTCTGATTATCTTTAGATTGAGAACAGAACGGTACTTCTGATTATCTTTAGAGTGAGAACTGAACGGTACTTCTGATTATCTTTAGAGTGAGAACTGAACGGTACTCCTGATTATCTTTAGAGTAAGAACTGAACGGTACTTCTGATTATCTTTAGAGTGAGAACTGAACGGTACTCCTGATTATCTTTAGAGTAAGAACTGAACGGTACTTCTGATTATCTTTAGAGTGAGAACTGAACGGTACTTCTGATTATGTTTAGAGTGAGAACTGAACGGTACTTCTGATTATCTTTAGAGTGGGAACTGAACGATACTTCTGATTATCTTTAAAGTGAGAACTGAAGTGTACTTCTGATTATCTTTAAAGTGAGAACTGAACGGTACTTCTGATTATCCTTAGAGTGAGAACTGAACGGTACTTCTGATTATCTTTAGAGTGAGAACTGAACGGTACTCCTGATTATCTTTAGAGTAAGAACTGAACGGTACTTCTGATTATCTTTAGAGTGAGAACTGAACGGTACTCCTGATTATCTTTAGAGTAAGAACTGAACGGTACTTCTGATTATCTTTAGAGTGAGAACTGAACGGTACTTCTGATTATCTTTAGAGTGAGAACTGAACGGTACTTCTGATTATCTTTAGAGTGGGAACTGAACGATACTTCTGATTATCTTTAAAGTGAGAACTGAAGTGTACTTCTGATTATCTTTAAAGTGAGAACTGAACGGTACTTCTGATTATCCTTAGAGTGAGAACTGAACGGTACTTCTGATTATCTTTAGAGTGAGAACTGAACGGTACTTCTGATTATCTTTAGAGTGAGAACTGAACGGTACTTCTGGTTATCTTTAGAGTGAGAACTGAACGGTACTTCTGATTATCTTTAAAGTGAGAACTGAACGGTACTTCTGATTATCTTTAAAGTAAGAACTGAACGGTACTTCTGATTATCTTTAAAGTGAGAACTGAACGGTACTTCTGATTATCTTTAAAGTGAGAACTGAACGGTACTTCTGATTATCTTTAGATTGAGAACTGAACGGTACTTCTGATTATCTTTAAAGTGAGAATTGAACGGTACTTCTGATTATCTTTAGAGTGAGAACTGAACGGTACTTCTGATTATCCTTAGAGTGAGAACTGAACGGTACTTCTGATTATCTTTAGAGTGAGAACTGAACGGTACTTCTGATTATCTTTAGAGTGAGAACTGAATGGTACTTCTGATTATCTTTAAAATGAGAACTGAACGGTTCTTTTGATTATCTTTAAAGTTATTTAATATGACTGAAAGAGTAGGATTGGTTTCAAGAAGTAGCGTGTACAGTGTACACTAGGTAGTAACGTAGGTATGGAGTGAATGACGGATGGCCACTTTAATGCTTTTATTTTAGTTCCAATTTGATTAAACGCCTTTTGTTATTAGTTTTTCTGTTTGTCTTGAGGATTTAGATGCAAAGAATTTGGGTTGAGGATAATGTGACGGCATTATTATGCATTTATAATTTTTAATTTAACTAGCGTTAAGTTAAAGGCACATATTAAACCTTTGTTTGATCTCCTATCATCTCGCAAGATTGGCTGAATGAATATCATCTTTAATGAAATTGATTACTAATCTGAAATATTGAATTAGTGGTCCCAATTTAATTGAATCGTGGACAATGTAAATTTTGGAACTATCTGTGTTGATCACAAGGATTGATTCAAGTAATTTGTGTATTATTATCAACAATCTGGCCCAAAGTCTTTAGTGATTTGTAATTGATTTATGTAATAATTGTGTCGAATTATAATTTATTCCGAATTAAAATTAATTTCATGTTCTTGGACGGTGACTTTAAATCAAAATTTCAGAATGATTGACTATCATAATAGTTGTGATATTGATTATATCGGTGTTTGTTTGGAAATATTTTAATATTTTTCCACCTAAATTCCAATTCTTTAATTTGAATTTCGTAATAAATGTTTATTTCTGACTCCAAAAACCAAAGTTATCTAAGTAACGAGGTCTTATTACAGTTTTAGAATCGTATTTATCGTAAATGTATGTGGCTATATCTCTATATATAGATATTTGAGGCTATTGAATGGATGGCGCTCATTCGGTTAGAGGAGCTGTTGATGTATACTTTAGGTCATTTAATTAAGTACGTGCCACTCCGTTTACTTCACATGGCAACTAACCTAGATACTGCCAAATTAGTCCAAACCAGGACAACTTACAGGAACACGCGACACCGATTACTTAAAAAATATATAAAGTACTTTTTCAGCAGTCAGTGTCACCGCGCGCGACCACATTAACATGTGATTCGCGCAATTCGATCGATCACATCACTTTTTATTGCCTCTAGTCTGTGCTCTGCAAGAAACATAATCGAAATTATTTCATGTGATCACACTCCAAAAAGAGGTAATTAAGTCTACTGTTTGTATTTTGGTTACCCTGACGGCTGACTCACCTTAGTTCGCGACTTCAAACGTGTTGATGTCACTACACAGTACCATACTTGAAATTCAGTTGTCAGTTGTTATGGACAGCTGAAAACAAAGGTTTCTAGAATCTAGTCGGCGTATGTCTCTTTTTCTGTGTAAATATTAATACTGAAGTAGTATTGTTACTTGTGGGACGCTACATCTGCTTATTTGATTTGTGCACTGTATATCTCATTTTAAAAATTAGTAATTTTACTACACTTTCTTTTTAATGTTTATGTAGTATATAATGTATATTATATATAATCTACTATCTACTATCCACTATCTACTATATACTATCTACTATCTACAATCTACAATCTACAATCTATAATCTACAATCTATAATCTACAATCTATAATCTACTATCTACAATCTACAATCTAAAATCTACAATATATAATCTACAATCTACAATCTAAAATCTACAATCTATAATCTACAATCTATAATCTACAATATATGATCTATAATCTACAATCTATAATCTACTATCTACTATCTACAATCTATAATCTACAATATATAATCTACAATCTACAATCTACAATATATAATCTACAATCTACAATCTATAATCTATAATCTACAATCTATAATCTACAATCTATAATCTACCACACTCTTTCAATTCACTTTACCTGGCGTCCTGACTTCAAGTTATAACTGTAGTTACAAAGATAAGAGTCATTGAACTTGGATTACACCAGCACCAGGAGTAAATTTCACGAAAAGGAAGTACCTATAAAGTTCGAAAATTGATGTCCACGTCCAAAACAATACAATGATTCACGTTATCATGTGACGCGGTACACTACTATCTACTATCTACTATCTACTATCTACAATCTACAATCTACAATCTACAATCTATAATCTATAATCTACAATCTATAATCTACAATCTATAATCTACAATCTATAATCTACAATATATAATCTACAATCTACAATCTACAATCTACAATATATAATCTACAATCTACAATCTACAATCTAAAATCTACAATCTACAATCTATAATCTACAATCTATAATCTACAATATATGATCTACAATCTATAATCTACAATCTATAATCTACTATCTACTATCTACAATCTATAATCTACAATATATAATCTACAATCTACAATCTATAATCTACAATCTATAATCTACCACACTCTTTCAATTCACTTTACCTGGCGTCCTGACTTCAAGTTATAACTGTAGTTACAAAGATAAGAGTCATTGAACTTGGATTACACCAGCACCAGGAGTAAATTTCACGAAACTTTTTTCTAGGAAAAAAGTCAAGGCCGGGGGGGGGGGGGGGGTCAGGCCATGATTACTGATTACGTAATATTGCTGTCAGGAGGGGGGGGGGGGGGGGGGGTTGGGTCTTGATTACGGTTGATTACGGAAGGGGGGAGGGGGGTAAAAATTGCTAAAATATTGATTACGTAATATGTGAACGACCCCAAAGGAAGTACCTATAAAGTTCGAAAATTGATGTCCACGTCCAAAACAATACAATGATTCACGTTATCATGTGACGCGGTACACTGTACGATGCTCGCTTATAGGGGTGTACAACTCCACAAATATGTACCAATAGGGCCAACTCCACGTTCATTCGTTTCCTGGAGCTCTTCGGCACCCCTTATATCTTTATATGTTATACCCGAAGATTCTACGAAAACGATAGTAGTAGTACGGTATTCACAGCAGGAGACATAATAAACGCGTGCTTGTAAAGTGAGATTGATAGCGGCAGACGGACCATTACCACAGCTGGTATTCGATCATAAAAACATGACGACACCTTTAACCACGTGACCATAACCACGTGACCTGTCTCTGCATGTTTTACAGACCCCCAATATTGCCATGTAACCAGGTTACCAGGTTACCAGGATACCAGGTTACCAGGTAACCAGGTTACCAGGTTACCAGGTTACCAGGTTACCAGGTAACTAGGTTATCACGTGACCTGCATGTTTTACAGACCCCCAATATTGTCATGTAAACTTGTTGATGAGTAGAGGAGGAATACAGAAGCTGTGATCAGGTGATTGTCTTCGTAAACCTGGTCACCCCACACGAGTTTATTATTGTGTTTTTAGCCAATCAGAGCTCGAGAAAACACGTTTCAACCAATGAGTTGTCTAGTTAGAAGGTGGAAACGTTTTCTAGCTGGTGGGAGGTCGTGATCGGGAGCTGTAATTTATTTACAGGATTCACACAGAATGTGTGGAGACTTGTGTGTTTGAACAGGTTAACCCCTGTTTACTTGTACCAGCAGGGACTGTGTGTGTGTGTGTGTTTGAACAGGTTAACCCTTGTTTACTTGTACAAGCAGGGACTGTGTGTGTGTGTTTGAACAGGTTAACCCTTGTTTACTTGTACAAGCAGGGACTGTGTGTGTGTGTTTGAACAGGTTAACCCTTGTTTACTTGTACAAGCAGGGACTGTGTGTGTGTTTGTGTTTGAACAGGTTAACCCTTGTTTACTTGTACAAGCAGGGACTGTGTGTGTGTTTGTACAGGTTAACCCTTGTTTACTTGTACAAGCAGGGACTGTGTGTGTGTTTGTACAGGTTAACCCTTGTTTACTTGTACAAGCAGGGACTGTGTGTGTGTTTGTGTTTGAACAGGTTAACCCTTGTTTACTTGTACCAGCAGGGACTGTGTGTGTGTGTGTGTTTGAACAGGTTAACCCTTGTTTACTTGTACAAGCAGGGACTGTGTGTGTGTGTTTGAACAGGTTAACCCTTGTTTACTTGTACAAGCAGGGACTGTGTGTGTGTTTGTACAGGTTAACCCTTGTTTACTTGTACAAGCAGGGACTGTGTGTGTGTTTGTGTTTGAACAGGTTAACCCTTGTTTACTTGTACAAGCAGGGACTGTGTGTGTGTGTTTGAACAGGTTAACCCTTGTTTACTTGTACAAGCAGGGACTGTGTGTGTGTGTTTGAACAGGTTAACCCTTGTTTACTTGTACAAGCAGGGACTGTGTGTGTGTGTTTGAACAGGTTAACCCTTGTTTACTTGTACAAGCAGGGACTGTGTGTGTGTTTGTGTTTGAACAGGTTAACCCTTGTTTACTTGTACAAGCAGGGACTGTGTGTGTGTGTTTGAACAGGTTAACCCTTGTTTACTTGTACAAGCAGGGACTGTGTGTGTGTGTTTGAACAGGTTAACCCTTGTTTACTTGTACAAGCAGGGACTGTGTGTGTGTTTGTACAGGTTAACCCTTGTTTACTTGTACAAGCAGGGACTGTGTGTGTTTGAACAGGTTAACCCTTGTTTACTTGTACAAGCAGGAACAGAAAGTAGCTGATAAGTGGGGTCTTGGTATGTTGCCAGAGTATTTGTGTTCTGTAAATGGATTTCTAGTGGCTTTTTGATGCTTCATCTGGTTTTCAAGGTTAGTTGTGGAAGTAAAAGTTCTGTTGTCGAATTTATAGACCTCTGTCTACTATTCTATCAGTATTTCATATCTCTTTGACGGAAATTGCTACAATTAGGGGTAAAATTGGGCTACACTTTACAGTGCTAGATATAATTGTCGTTCCTAAGCAACCACCGGTATATATAAGGATAATGCACTAAATGGAAATCTACAGTTCCTGACTGTAGTGTTTATTTTGTTTTATTTTGGATTTCTGAGTTTAAATGTCTTTCTTTGGTCACATATCTGGTAAAATGTAAAACAGGATGCAGACCAGCTGTGTAATTATAGCACGGTTGTTTTAGTTTACTTGCTAGTTTACTGGTACATCTTGTTAATTGAGATCATAAACATCATTTACATGTTTAACAAATCGCCCTGTTTGTATTTAGTATAATATAATGTTGGACAGATATAAAACACTAACTGTATTTTTGTTTAATAAACAAGGCGTAATAAAATATCGTCCCAAATATATAAAATTTGTTAGGTGTGTTTAGGTGATAGCACAGTACGCCAAATTAAATTCAGTTCCTGAAATGCAGACAACGCTTTGAAATGAATTCCGATCAATTCCCCACGTACTGGATCAGTCATCACTAAAGCTCTAAAAGTAAGATTAACATTACGGCACCTCAGGCTCAAGATCACGAGATAAAATTGTTGCATCCTAGAAATTGGCCTAATGAGTTCTCATCATATTTGTGGCTGTGAGCGTGTCGGCTCGTACGGCGGAGTTTGCTTCTGGGTTGTGAGCGTGCGTGTCGGCTCGTACGGCGGAGTTTGCTTGCGGAGGTTGTGATTGAAGTATTTCAAGTATGCTGTGATCTGTACTTTCTCGCTTGAATTAATGTTGTAAGTCAACTCTTGGGACCATACCTTAAAGTAGAGTATATTTTACGGTTTTATTGAATTCGTTATTTGCTTTGTCCTTACTTTATAATATGTAGTGATTAGTATCGCATAATATGTAGTAATTAGTATCGCATAAATATAGAAGCATTATACTAGTACTACCACATGTTATCAAACATGAAAAGTAAACATGTCTACACAATCTACTCTTACTAATTCGCTCGACCAAAAATTATCACGTGACTTTGGTTTTTATGATTTTGCAGCCGAACAAAACAGTTTTAGTTTTACGTAAACCGTAACCACAACCCTAACCCTAACCCTAACCCTAACCCTAACCCTAACCCTAACCCTAACCCTAACCCTAACCCTAACCCTAACCCTAACCCTAACCCGAGCCCTAGCCCTAGCCCTAATCAATTAAATTCTTGTTTTACTAGCTTGTCACGTTACCAAAACGGTTTTTTGCCCGTAACTCTCCAGGGAAGTATTTTACCCTACGTCATGGGGGGTGATTCGGAATCAGCTTCCAAGAATACACCGATTCAGATGAGTTTCATACCCTCAGGGCCTTTTCACAAAAAATGTTCTTAAAATTTGGGCGAGCGATTTAGTGGGAGTTACAGGTTAATATACAAAGATAAATCGTCTAATTAGAGAGATCTTGTCTAACTCTAATTGGGTGTGATCCAATAAAGACTTAACAAAATATATAAATAGCTCAATTCTTATAGCTGAATGCTAATAACTAAATGCATATAGCTGAATGCTAATATAGCTAAACGCCTATAGCTGAATGCTAATAGCTAAATGCCTATTGCTGAATGCTAATAGCTAAATGCCTATAGCTGAATGCTAATATAGCTAAATACCTATAGCTGAATGCTAATAGCTAAAAACGTCAGATATTATATGAAATTGTCGGGTTATATCTCCCACTCAAAGACCGCGTTAACATTATGATGTCATGAGTTTCACAGTACACTTCATACCTGTGTCGTGTTTTCCTCAAAAACTCACGCAAATCTGACACATGTGCCACCGGATACATTTCTGACATTCGCTTTAAGACTGCTTCCAGATGCTCAAAAGGATTTCTGGTAAGCAGAGTTTTTAACAATTTCTTCAATCCCAGTTTAATACTTCACTATAACTTGATTAGTTCATAGCTACCTGTGCAGATGCTGATAGCGTTTGAGTTAAAAACTGCGTCATATTTCAAAACAATATATTTATTTTTTTGCGCCATTACGAGCATTCTGACATAAATCGGTTAGAAGTGATAAACAATTACAACTTGCTTCCCAGTTCCCAGCTGTCACGTGTCACGTGTCACGTGTCACTCTTACTCTTACCTCGGATCTGCAAATTCTTTGACAGTAAAAAGCCACCGTATTCTCCATTCAAAAAGTGCTGGAGCTTATTTAATGTTCCTGCTTACTAACATTTGTTGTTGTTATCGGAGTAAACAAAGGGCACGATTTCTTTTTAAGAAGCGGAGCATGGGAACTTGTACTTGTAAGTTTAGTTCTATTGTTTTTCTTCGTGATATTGAAAATTTGTCGATTTATTGTTTTTGTACTTTTTTATCGCTTATTTTTGATATCATAACCGAGCCGATTGGGATCATTTTCGTTAAAATTGGCTTGAATATCGGTACTAACCATTAATATTAATATAACTAAACTAAAAGTAAAACCTGAAACTGTCGCCTACAATTTCAGGGTAATATTTTATACAGCTGAATCATAGAACACAACTCTTGATCTAGAAGTCTGTAGTTTGACGTATAAAACTATATTTCTCTCTCTACCCACCGTACTTAAAGTGAGTTAGCTGAACATGCTCCACAGCAGTACTTTGGGAATTATGAGTATTGTTTTACAGTAAGTGCGTCATCGTGCAGCTCTGTTCACTCTAGTTTGGTATATTTGATATTTAGCTTCCTTATAGTTACGGTTTGTTATGTTTCACGGATTTCAGAATGTCCCTGTTTTCACGCTAGTTTGGTATATTTAGCCTCCTTATAGTTACGGTTTGTTATGTTTCACGGATTTCAGAATGTCCCTGTTTTCACGCTAGTTTGGTATATTTAGCCTCCTTATAGTTACGGTTTGTTATGTTTCACGGATTTCAGAATGTCCCTGTTTTCACGCTAGTTTGGTATATTTAGCCTCCTTATAGTTACGGTTTGTTATGTTTCACGGATTTCAGAATGTCCCTGTTTTCACGCTAGTTTGGTATATTTAGCCTCCTTATAGTTACGGTTTGTTATGTTTCACGGATTTCAGAATGTCCCTGTTTTCACGCTAGTTTGGTATATTTAGCTTCCTTATAGTTACGGTTTGTTATGTTTCACGGACTACAGAATGTCCCTGTTTTCACTCTAGTTTGGTATATTTAGCCTCCTTATAGTTACGGTTTGTTATGTTTGTTATGTTTCACGGACTACAGAATGTCCCTGTTTTCGTTTGGTTGAGCCCTTTCAGACGGGGGATGATGGGGTGAAGAGGTGATTATAATGATTGAGGATGGAGTGAAGAAAGTGAAAAAGATTTGTAATGTTTACAGTACTATATAATTATTGAAACTAAAAAACTATGCTTCTGATGAGAAGGAAATACCTCTCAGACATCAGAGGGCTGGCTGTTGGTTTACTCATGATAGACGAGATAGACAATTATCGTTTTAAACCTTCAAAAGGACGTGTCCTAAGTGTTAAAGATTCTACAAGTTCGCTTTGTTGTTATTCCTCGTGGGCCACTAAATATACATGATCCTTTAATAGAACCTAACTATTTAGTGGGTCCCAGAAGAGACAGCCAAATAACAAAGGATTTACCAGACATCTGCTGTAATTTCTGACTGATCGTTTTGTAGAATGACAGCTGGTGGCTGGCAAGCGCCCAACTGAACAGTACGTGTTGAACATGACCCCCCAGAACGGATCACTGTTTTTGTTAATTTGACACGGTAATTCTTGTAATTGAGTTTATCGGGGCCACACCATTATCGTCATCAGGCGATCAGATCCGATAACGCTCAGTATTCAGTAAACAATATTCACTTTCAATTTGGATTCCAATTTTTGAATTATTTATATTTCTCAGAGAATTTTTTGTTCTGAAGAAAAGCTATCAGGATATCACACCATATTTCAACCACAAGAAGGGCTATATGAGAACGTGCTTTTAATTTATCTGCCACCCCACCCCCACCATCTGGCAGCTATTTTATGTCATGCACCTGCTATCCTGTTGCCATGGTGACTAAGTTGTTTTGATTCCCGCTACTATTATGTAAGTTGCTATGTTATTTCAGATAAGTGGCCTCTAGCTCGAGAAGACATGTTTTAGTTTATTCTATTTATTTACCACGGACCGTTTGTTTGAAGTACTAATCGTACCCAAGACCTCCAACTTCAAGCAAGGTTGCCCGTTAACATTCCCATTTCCAGTCTTTGTTTCGCAGTTTAACTAAAACTGATAACCTGGTGACTGGTGACTAATTGACGATTAGTCTCAATTAGTAATTGTGTTGTGGTGGGAGCTTTAAGTGGAGAACGTTTATAATTTATGCTTCCTTTACATATTGATATATATAAAGATATAGACGCGTTACTTAACTTCCCGTGGTCTGACTTCTTTATGCTATTATAAATATAATACTCATAGTATTTAAAAATAGTTTAATATTTGTTCAGTTTACTAACATGGCAGCTGTGAAGAGTCCGATGGTGGATCAAGATGGAACTTTTGGTCGGTTGCACAGAGGTATGTTTATAGTTTTAGAAATAACCTGGTGTATTTGATCTAAATCAGTATAACTATAATTGCATGGTAATTTAATGAAGCAATGGATGTACAGTTTTATTTTCAATGAACAGAAATATCTTTTGATACTAGGTCTAAGATCGTTCATTTTAGTATAAGCTGATTTCCAATCTTTAAGTTCACTGTTCATTCTCAAAATAAATCCATATACATCATATTATCATCCAAGCTTTACCAAAATCATGAAATGAGAATCCAAAACTTACAACTTAACAATCTTGTCCAGTGGGTAAACTAGAGTTTCATAAAAAAATTAAATAAATAAATAAAATCCAAACATTATCATTCCGTTAAGAAGAAGTATCCGTCGTCCACATCTCTAACCCTCCATAAAGATATCCTCATGTCTTCACGCCGTACAGGACTGAAGTCAAACGAAGAGGTTGACTGGAAAGAGAGGGATCCCAAACCTATACCTGTCACAGTGCGACGACAGAGCTCGACTTTCAAGCGGTTCGCACTTGCCAACGTGAGAATAATATAATTCATATTTATAATAGTAACTAGTTATGTGAGATTATAATTCATATTAGTATTGTTGTAGAACTAGATAGCATGGTATGCCCCCCCCCCCCCCCCAAATAAAACTCTAACTATTTACCGGTTGTAAACGTAACAATAGTAATTTAATTAAATTAATTAACACACTTACAGCAGTTGCAAGAAAGCGATGTAAAGACATCTGTCTCCCTGGCGCCCAGCAAGGTACTGGACACAGACACGGGTCTGCAGCTCTCCATGAAGGCTAACAGTATACTGGGGGGCAGCACCTGGACTCAGAACCTAGAGAAGGAGTTCGTGAAACTGGACGCAAAATCATCAAACGGTTGGTACCAGCCTTATTGATCAATTTCAGGACTTAACTTAGATTGTGCTATGTACGAATTGATACGTTGTTAGGATATCGTTTTAAATGTTAGGCAGGGAATACGCTCACTATGATCTCAGATCTATTATATCTTTAACCCATTTACCCAATCCCTGCTTTCCCAATCTCGGTTCATTAAAGACTAAGATCTTTATAACTCCAGTGCAGTGTTCATGTAGTGTAGTTAGTAGTTTCATCACATTATATGTACCTCTCTATGTCGCGTTGACTTGACACGTGGTACCCCTACTTAACACGTGGTACCCCTACTTAACACGTGGTACCCCAACTTGACACGTGGTACCCCTACTTAACACGTGGTACCCCTACTTAACACGTGGTACCCCTACTTAACACGTGGTACCCCTACTTAACACGTGGTAACCCTACTTAACACGTGGTACCCCTACTTAACACGTGGTACCCCTACTTAACACGTGGTACCCCTACTTAACACGTGGTACCCCTACTTAACACGTGGTACCCCAACTTGACACGTGATACCCCTACTTAACACGTGGTACCCCTACTTAACACGTGGTAACCCTACTTAACACGTGGTACCCCTACTTAACACGTGGTTACCCTACTTAACACGTGGTACCCCTACTTAACACGTGGTACCCCAACTTGACACGTGGTACCCCTACTTAACACGTGGTACCCCTACTTAACACGTGGTACCCCTACTTAACACGTGGTACCCCTACTTAACACGTGGTACCCCTACTTAACACGTGGTACCCCTACTTAACACGTGGTAACCCTACTTAACACGTGGTACCCCTACTTAACACGTGGTACCCCTACTTAACACGTGGTACCCCTACTTGACACGTGGTACCCTTACTTGACACTTGGTACCCCTACTTGACACGTGGTACCCCGACTTGACACGTGGTACCCCTACTTGACACGTGGTACTCCTACTTGACACGTGGTACCCCTACTTGACACGTGGTACTCCTATTTAACACGTGGTACCCCTACTTGACACGTGGTACCCCTACTTAACACGTGGTACCCCTACTTTACACGTGGTACCCCTACTTCTAGGGAAACAACGGACAACCAAACACCACATATCAGATAACCACATACAGCCACTTTACTAAATACATTTGTAGCTATAAAGTGGATTAGTATAATTACCACAGGCTAGCTGATTCAGAGCAGTGACCTTCTCCTCCTGAATTTGACCTCCCTCTACTGCTCTGTCATGCCTTGAAACTCGAGTAACTACAATACCATGCCAAAATTTGATCTCATAATGGTTAACGTCGTTACCATGGACCGATTTTTCGCTGTAATCGTATTTTTGTCCTGAGGTTGTTGCAGCGGCGAGGGCTAAGTTTCAAAAGATTTATTACAATTGTATCCTTTGTTCATAAGTTGTACTTCCAGTTTACTGTTGTTGGGTTTTGATCCCGCTGAGAATTTTCATGGCAAGTGTAATGCTGGGAATGAATGGTGAGACCTATTTTTAGTATTATCAGATCAGTCCAAGTTACTGGATTTAGTAAATGTAGGATTAAATTTCAACTGCCCGATAAAAATGTTAGAGTTGGCCGGAATTTTCAGTGAATGATAATTGTGAAGGTGGCAGGCTGGCATTGCAAGTGTGACTAATCTTCACGTGCTCACGTGTATCCATCGCTCAATTAAAACGAGATATTTCCATGTCCTTGAATTATCTGAAACGAATCTTCGCATTTACATACCCTCCTGTAGGTCCCTAATTTTTGGGGAAGTAATAGAGTTTCTGTTGGATAAAACAGCCATGGAAACCATATTTAATGGAATTGACTCACACAGAAGGCATCAATTCCCGTGATGCCCTCATGAGTTATAAGATTCCGCTGACAGTTTAACTATCACTGCGGTCATTTTGAGAGATATGAATAAATTTAACATAATCTCGATAGAGCAGATAGTATTAGTGCTCGGAGTCAATCTATAAATATACACTGTATTATATAATAACGCACTGTATATACATACATTATATACACTGTATTATATAATAACGCACTGTATATACATACATTATATACACTGTATTATATAATTACGCACTGTATATACATTATATACACTGTATTATATAATAACGCACTGTATATACAATATACATACATTATATACACTGTATTATATAATTACGCACTGTATATACATTATATACACTGTATTATATAATAACGCACTGTATATACATTATACATTATATACACTGTATTATATAATAACGCACTGTACAGGGTGAGTTGAAAATAGTGTGTAGAATGTAAAAATCGATAATTTTTTTTATGAAGGAGCAAATTTTGAAAGGTGAATTGCTATCAGTTCATAAACGTTACAAATTTCATTCTTGCCTCTCATTTGATTCTAACTCATAATTTGGTTGATTTTTGGCAGTTTTCCAAATATTCGTAAATTCGTCCTAATGGGGTTCTCATAGACCATGCTGTAGCTTAGGTTCCCTATACATTGAACCCTATTCCTTTAAAACTCTATGAAAGAAAAAGCATTAATTAACACTTCCCAAGGAATGATAATGTCATAGAATCTATATTTCTTACATAAATATGGACGTTTTTGCTGTTCAGTCATTTCCCCGCCTAACTGTTACCCAGAATGGAGACCAAAGTTTAGAATTTAACCCCAGGAAACCAGGTACTACCAAAAAAAACCATAAAAAAACGAGGTCCAAGATTTTAAAAATCGAATAAAAATTTTTTAAAGCCCTATCTCAAAAAAAGACCCCCCCTGCCCCCTTAATACAGTCAAGTCGGCTATAAACAATTGTCTTACACGTTATCAACATGTCCTAGCTAATAAAGGACGATGGGTTGAGCAAATTATTAATTATTAAGTATTTTTATTGTATTATTATAATATTTATATATTTTCATGGCCTAAATATGCAAAAATTAAGTGGAAGTTTCATTTGTCAAAAAAATTAGAGCCATTTACATTCTACACACTATTTTCAACTCACCCTGTATATACATACATTATATACACTGTATTATATAATTACGCACTGTATATACATTATATACACTGTATTATATAATAACACACTGTATATACATTATATACAGTGTATTATATAATAACGCACTTTGATATCCTTGATTCGGGTGGAAGGTAGAATTGTACGGCATTATCACGGAGTACTAAACATTTCCTTGTGTTTTAGAATTTACACATCTCAAAGTCATTACACAAACTTATAACCATATTCTCAGTTACAGCAGGAGAAGAGGAAGGAGCCCCAACAGTTTTGAGCGGGTCTGAAGAACCAAGAGAACAATCGGTGTTCCACCTGACTGAAACGGAGAAATACATCCTGAAACAAATCATGAACATGACCCATGATAGGGCGGGTCTTCAGGTGTGACATCATCTTAATTTAGTCATTGAGGATTACCTAATTATCTCTGATGGTAGACTTATTTTTTAAAACTGGTTTCTTTAAAACTGGTTTCTTTAGACTTAATTATAAGTTACAAATCTTCCCCGGTTCTGAATATGTCACGTGACCACCCTCCCTCACTCCAGGCCCACCGAAAGCTGGCAGAAACCCACTGTAACACTGTAACACTGTAACACTGTAACACTGTAACACTGTAACACTGTAACACTGTAACACTGTAACACTGTAACACTGTAACACTGTAACACTGTAACACTGTAACACTGTAACACTGTAACACTGTAACACTGTAACACTGTAACACTGTAACACTGTAACACTGTAACACTGTAACACTGTAACACTGTAACACTGTAACACTGTAACACTGTAACACTGTAACACTGTAACACTGTAACACTGTAACACTGTAACACTGTAACACTGTAACACTGTATCACTGTAACACTGTAACACTGTAACACTGTAACACTGTAACACTGTAACACTGTAACACTGTAACACTGTAACACTGTAACACTGTAACACTGTAACACTGTAACACTGTAACACTGTAACACTGTAACACTGTAACACTGTAACACTGTAACACTGTAACACTGTAACACTGTAACTCCAGGCCCACCGAAAGCTGGCAGAAACCCATTTAGTCAGAGTGCAGACCCACATGGAAGAGGCGCAGCCGAGTGAGATTGCGCAGGGAGGCTACATACATCTTCCTGATAGAACTAAGATGAAGAGACATTACATGAAGAAACTTGGTTTGTGTACAACTTCCTCCTGTTTTATTCAGTCTGGAAAAATAAATATGATTTTTTAATCGGTCTGGAAAACTCATTATGATTGAAAACTATTGACAACAGACTACTTATGGGGGTATGACATCACTCCCGAGTTCAGCCAGTCAGGTCATGTTCATTGTCAAGCAGCTGTTTTGTGTATAATTGATGATGTTATCAGGGAGGAAAGCTACAAAGACGGAAGTGCAGGTCCCTAAAGAATGCTGTACCATGTTGGGAAACGTTGCGAAGTACGATCCAGCTCGTCGGAGACACGATTTAAAGTTAGTACACTTGTGACGATTCATGACGTCACTGTTGTTGTGATGACGTCACTTTTGTTGTGATGACGTCACTTTTGTTGTGATGACGTCACTGTTGTTGTGATGAAGTCACTGTTTTTGTGATGACGTCGCGTCATGCTGGGTTATTTTATGACATCATTCATTTAATTTAGAATGCATATCATTTACTATTCACAAGCAATGTAATATAGTTGCTTCAATGTATTAAGTATTCATTGATTTTGAGGTATTGAATATAACATGACAAAGTTGTCAATTATTAAAGTTTACCTCTAAAATTAAATATTAGGCGGCGTTTCTGAATAATAATTTATCAATTCTATTTTTATTTATTTATTCTGTTTTTGTTGCTTAATTAAAGTAACACCCTCATTCCTCAGGAATACGATAATTCCCCTGATCCCTGGCTCACTTCCTGACCCAGAGTTCAGATTTCGCCACGTGTTTGTGGTCGACATGGCCTATATGGAGAAAAACAAGGTCAGCTGATTGATAGCTTTACTTTTACTTTCTAACCTGATCAGTATGAAATGGTCAGCACGCTGTTGTGATGACGTCACTGTTGTTGTGATGACGTCACTGTTGTTGTGATGACGTCACTGTTGTTGTGATGACGTCACTGTTGTTGTGATGACGTCACACAGGGTTACATTCCACAGAATCTGATGTAAATATTTACACACCAGGTAGACCTGACAAACGACAGAGTGCCAGTGTTCTCCGCAGCTCATCCTGGTGACAAATACCTTTTCTCTAAAGAGGTACCATTTTCACTTTTGTTATTCCATCTTCTTTCAAGGTTTCCTTTACTTTATGTTGTTGTCTATACTTAATGTTGCTGTTTATACTTAATGTTGTTTCCTTTACTTACTATTGTTTCCTTTACTTAATGTTGTTCTTCCTTCTTCATACAAGGATAAAGGTTTACTTTGTCACCGCGATTAAGATGGATTTTGTTTTCAGATTTCAGAAGAAATCAAGGCTAGGAGTAAAAGATTAGTTGCTGCTATCAGGATTGCGTTCAATAATAGATTGTACTGGAAAGATGTATTAAAGGTAAGGATTTTATTTTTGTCTTTTAAGACCTTTAAGTGTTTACTTCACAGAAACATTATCCAAAAAAATGCTCACAATTTGAGGATAACTCAACTTAGAAACCTAGTCAAGGAGGACATAACAATAGAGTTCAGTCCTGAGCCTTGGTTTGTTATGTAATCTATATATAGTATATGGGCAATTCCACGGTAAGGTTCCACTTGGTGAAAATGAAAAATGTTAAGATAGGCTCCTAATTTTGGTTAAAATATGTTCATTAGACTCTTAACCTTACAGGTCAACAAAAGTTTTTTGTTTCATATTGCGTTAACTTTTGATTTTTCTCATTCAAAGGAACACTACTCGGAAATGAAAAAAATCATTCAAATTTTCAAAGGGCCATAGTTTGGGTATGCAGCAATATTTCTCTATGAAATTTCATACACTTAGGCATAGGCATAAGAATGAGAGCTATGCAAAGTTTCACAACCGTTACTCAAATAATTTTTCTAAAAAATTTCCACAAAGATGGTGTCGCGTCCGTCACAAAATTAAGCAAAAAAGTTTTTTCAGAGCCACATAGTGCTATTTATATTCAAAAAACCACTGTAACATATCTCTTCTGAAGGTAAGGGAGTACCGTAGAAATTATCAGGCTTGTACCTTTTAAGAAAAAATTTTTGGAAGGGGGGTCCCAACTTGTCGCGTCTGTCACATTTTTTTGAAAATGCTCCAAAAAATCTTTAAACAGACTTTAAATGCATTTTGCTTAAAGCTGAGACCGTCCTCAACAAAACTATGTCGTCAAATCGAAAATTGGACAGAAAATGGCCGAGTTATGTATAATTCTGTATATGCCCATATATGGGCGTACGGCTCACTTTTAGCCATTTTTATCCATATTTCCATTATTTTGACTAAAACCAAGACAAATAGAAGTCAAATAAGGTTGGATTGTGTTGACTATGTTGACTAGACTATCAAATAACATCATATGCAATTCAATAATTAAATTTACTGAGTTTTTGCCATTTTTTTTTGCTTACAACTTTTTCAGAGGTAAAAGGCACAAAAAATGGACTTTACCCTATTTTCGCATATTTTTGAAGTAAAAATTCAATATCTTCCACATTTTAAACACTAAATTAATGAAACTTTTAGGAGATGGTCTCAACAGTATGATGCATTGAACAGTGATGAATGTTTTACCAGAGTTATAAATTTGTTCAAGTAGAGAAATAATTGATGCCCCTAGACTGATACCCTAGCGTATGCCCAAAATGGACAATTTTGGCGATTGCAGACCTCTTGGGGGTATTTGAGGCCTAAAAATTGGCATGAATACAGAGTAGATGTCACTGAACAAGATAAAAGTGTCAAGTGGAAGATTTGGAAAAATTGAAAAAAAACGTGTGTCCGTCACAGTCGCGTCTGTCACAATTTGAAAATGGCGCCATCCAAACAAAAATTGAGCAATCTCCAAGAAAATGGCATCTTAGAAATCCCTAAACCTTCTTCTATCATTGTAATTCCAAATTAGAGACAATAGATAACTTTTTGAGATAAATTTGGGTACCATCTGAGTAGACACCCAAAAAAAGTGTCATATTTAAGTCGCGTCCGTCACAGGGGTGCTATCTCAGAAAGTAATAATGGTAGGGGTCTGAAATTTTCACACAACCTGTAGAAAGGTTAAATGTGGACTAATAAACAGTTGGAACTGATAAATAAACAACATCTCGAGTACAACATTCGTTTGAAGTTTAAAAAACAGCAAAATCGTGGTGTCCGTCACGGTGGAATTGCCCATATACTCTATACTCTATGCTATATAGCATTACGTATCAATTTAAAATTCCATCGAGAAAAAAGCATTGGTTATCTCTCCTTCATATCAGTCAACCGCATTTTAAAAGTTTAAAGGACAAAGACAGGGGTGTATTACCAGATGGAGCTTCAATTAAAATGCTCAAGAGCGATTGACACGTGCTTCTCATTAACACGTGCTTCTCATACCTATAATTGTACAGGAACACAAGTCTTCAGTCTAGAGTATACTGGTGGGGCATGTTCTAAGATGAACAATAGAAATGCTCCTCCCGACTCTGGTCAGCTCCGCTCTATTGTTTAATTCTAAAACTGAAGACACGTTCGAAATTTTATATGTGCATTACTGATATCATGTGCTCCACTGGAAATTTACTTTTTCATTATAGTTAACATTTGTACTTCTGCTAACCATCATAACTTATTTTGACCCTGACAGTTTACAGACGACCCCAATGAAATTATTACAATTCTTCTTACTATTGGCGGGCTTTCTGCCCATTGCCCGTACCTTTGGACGAAGAAACAAAGAAACACTGGATGAAGCACGAGGTTATAAAGAGTGTGAAGAATTCAGGAACACCAAGAACATCAATCTAAAGTCTCTGGACTCAATCTGTGATAACAGTGCTAAATGCGCACACATGGAGACTATAGAGGAGGAATCGTGTGGGTTCGGAGTGAGAAGGTACGCTGCTGGTAAGTGGATCCGGACAAAGGTACGCCGCAGTGATGGACCTAATAAGATGTACGAAGCTGCCTTTTGGCGTCTTTACAAGTACATTGGAGGTTCTAACAGCGGGCAAACTAAAATCCCCATGACGGTTCCTGTGATCACTAACACTTATCTGAGTGAAAATTTCACTGAGGAGGGAGCAACAATGCTATTGCGCCTACCAGCTGCTTTCCAGGAGGAGCCTCCAGAACCAAAGGATAAGCTAGTTTTCATCCAGGACTGCCCTGATGATAAGATCCTTTACTTCAGAGTCCTGGGAAAAGAAGCAAAAAACACGGATCTCTGGAAAGTAGAATTTGAAAAGCTTGCCACAGCTTTGGACAACGCTGGCAAGAAGTTCTGGCCCTATTTAGCAGTGGCAGGAGGCTACACTCTCCCTGGAATCGGGGCCCAACGATCTGAAGTGATGTTTGGAGCGATTGAGCACGAGGAAGGATCTGCAGATGGGACTGTTTTCTTGGAAAAACGAGGCTGGTAAACGTATACCAGTTCCAGATGGAAATGAATTATCTTTATTGCATTGAGATATATTATTTACACTTGATTTAAAATGTTGTGAAACCTGTTTTAATTGTCATTCGTTGTGTTGAGATGTTGAAAGTCTACTGCTACCTGTCATCTACTCGGCATTAAGTTAATTCCGTGTCGCAAAACGTCAAAATGAGCAATCGGTTAAACCTGAGAAATTAAGTAAATCTAAATCTGTTGACGAATTCGAGTTTTATTTATTCGATTTTAGATACACTTTTTTGTTATGTAGTGCTGATTGGCTTCATACTGGCCACATCACAATTTAAATTTAAGGGCATGCCAAAAAATTCAGCGATATCACAATTTAACTTTACGGGCAAGCCAAAAAAGTCAGCAACATCACAATTTCACTTAATATATTTAAGGGCAAGCCAAAAAAGTCAGCGACATCACAATTTAATTTTCAGGGAAAATCAAAAAGGTCAGCGACATCACAATTTAACTTTCAGGGCAAGCCAAAAAAGACAGCGACATCACAATTTAACTTCAAGGGCAAGCCAAAAAAGTCAGCGACATCACAATATAACTTTCAGGGAAAATCAAAACCTACAGCAGTGTTAGAGGACACAGAAAACGAAGAAGTATACAAAAGAGAATGTGAACAGTTCATCTCCAACCCCCTTTCTTGCAGGTGATAATTTACAATTCACTCCCAATCTTAACATTAAGTTGGGACCTAGAAATTTTACTGTATCTCATTTAAAAAGTCCGGCCCAGAAACAATATCTTATCATCTCTTTAAGATATAACCGCGTAGTTATAGTTACCAGGGTGACTTATCTAGAACAATTCAACAAGTAGATAATCTGATCTTTTACAACAACAAGTGTATGATCCTCTCTTTTACGACAGGTCTATGATGTATTATGTGGACGTGTACGACCCTACCCAAGAGTACGATTGTCCTTCTCAGGGTTATGTCGGTGTCCTGGAAACCTCTCCCAGATTACTAGCTGTTCAAGAGGGTATAATACTTCTTTTAATAATTTCAACAATACTATATAACAAATAATTTGAGTCTGAAGATGGCGTTGACGCCGAAAAATTGCCTACATTGCTAACTTCCTGTTTCATTTGTCCTTGCCTCTTTCAACCGGATATTATCCAACTATCAGTATTTCAATCATGAGATTTATAAACAGCGAACTACTCCATCATTTGATATTCAAGAGGGTACCTGAGTTGATAAGATTTGATTGGAAATTAAGTTGACGTGCACATTTTATCTCCGTGTTACACCTCAATTTTGGAGTAATTTAAAATTATTGTGTATTTTGAACTGATTTGCATCTCAGGAGAAAAGTTCAAAGAGCGGCTGATGTCGCACATCTGCAACGACGGAACCCTCTTTGAGACCTGCCTCTCTCTCCCCCGGCTCTGGAGACACAACTTCTACAACAGTACAGCTGGTTCCGACGGTGTACTGGACAGGGCTCCCTCAGTGATCGTGCTGCCGCTTGATTTCGGGCTGGCGGGGGGTGTGGTGAAGTCCAAGCAGACTGATCGGTTACGCTACCTGGAGGGACGGTACATGAAGTACTTTGGGGGAGTCAGTCCTGTAACGTTGAACATGAAGAATCCTGTTTACAGTACTTGAGCGCCGCTTGTTTTGTATAAAGTTAGATAGTTTTTGAAATATTTGTATGTTGAAAAGTTCACAAAGAATTATGTGGATGTATTGTGTTTTTCCGGACGGGTGTGATATATTTGGTATGAGAGGGTCGATATATTTGTGTGACTGATGGGACAGTCACGTGATGGTATTTCTTATCTTTTAGTTATAATATCATTTGAAAACTCGGTCATGAGATTTCTACGTTGATAAACATATCAAAGAAAATATACATATTATATGATTTGTTGCTATTTGAGTAGGTGTAATGTGTATACCAGTGGTCGACCGGGATCGAAATTTAGTCCCGGCCGGGACCGGGACCGGGACCGGGATCGAAATGAAAACCCGGCCGGGACCGGGATTATCCTCATCCCGGCCGGGACCGGGACTGGGACCGGGATTTTTCCAATATTTCTCAATCTCAGTTAAAATGAAACAGTGTTATATGTTAAATAAAATCTTCCAGAACAAACTGAGGTATGTCAAGTTAAAATTGACAGTAATAGTAGTAGCTACTCTATCTCTCTCTAATCTCTATCTCTCTCTATCTTTCTCTATCTCTCTCTCTCTATCTCTCTCTATCTCTCTCTATCTCTCTCTCTCTCTCTCTTTATCTCTGAGATAGAGAGCGCGATCGTGATCATGTAACATAAACATTTCACATAAGACTTGAAAGTTGAATTTTCAATAAACTTTTGGCGACGAGAAAGTGAAATGATCTAACTATTAAGAAGCACTGTAGAGTACTGTTGTAGTAAAACTTTTCGGAAAATGTTCACAGGTTCGTGAAATTTGGGCTCAAATATACGCTCAAAAACCGACTTTATTTTGGAAAAATCCCGGCTAAAATCCCGGCTAAAAACAAAATCCCGGCCGGGACCGGGACCGGGACAAAATCGCCAAATCCCGGCCGGTATCCCGGCTGCGCCGGGATCCCGGTCGAGCTCTGGTGTATACTGTATGAAATGTAACAGTGTTTATAATTGTTACACAGAACATAAGGCTATATTTATAATTGAATTTGATTTGTTCATTTTCAAAATATGACCATAATATTTGATCAAAAAGCTTTATAAATTACAATCCGATCATGTTCACTAATACTCTAATATAAGTTAATTTATAAGCAATGGGGTCCCGAAAAAGCATAGATGCGGAGTTCGTTGATTTTTGGCGTAGAGTTCGTGGAGTTCGTTCAAAATTTGGAGTTCGTTAGAGTTCGTTGGAGTTCGTTAGTCAATTTTTCAAAAAAAAACATGGAAAATGTTATACAGATAACTATAAACTGTACATTATTATATCAACTTTACTGTAGTACTGTACACTGTCTACTTTACTGCTGAAAGTTGTACCTACAATGACATTTGAATCATCAACTATACCTATAAGTCTATACACAGTGCACTTCAATTTCAAATAGTTCAGTCTGCTGTACATGGCAAAATAAAATGTATACATCATACATGAACACTGAATGTACAATGTACATTCGGTGTGATCACAGCTGTTTACAGCAGAAGAAAACGAAACGCAACGCCAGAAGTACAAGTTGAAGTTTTCTGCAACGTGTCCAGGGAACGTGCGCGCGCAAACTATTAGCGCCAGAATGTTCCAGTCGATCGACCAGTCCTTGTACTGTGAAATGTACAGTGTACACGCGACGCGTGGTAGAAGTTTCGAGTACCAATATATTTAGTTGTTTTACAATCGTATGTTATGTGTTGAATTGGCTGAATTGTAAATACAATTTCTGTTTAATTTCATTTTACGTAAGTTGTACAAAACGAACTCCTCAAGAGTTCGTAATTTTGGGTTGATGAGTTCGTAGAGTTCGTTGTCACTGAGGAGTTCGTAGAGTTCGTACGTATCATCTATGCGAAAAAGTGGAAACATTTTCTTTTTAAGCGAACATTATATTTATAGTGATGAAACCGAATAATGACATAATTTGCAGGCATTGTCAGAACTTAGTAAGTGTAAAAGTAGTATAAAAGTAGATGTAGCCAAATTTGTATTTGAATTGTAATTGTGTAATAACGTTTCTTAATATAATTTGATTTACACATGAAAGTTTCCCCTAAGAATTCTATCATTAACAATTTAATTCGGATAATTCATTATCATTACATAAATTAAATGGCGTAGGAAATTTACCAGACGGAAATGTTAATTAGCAAATGATATGCAACAACTTACCTAACAAATTAAAATCAAAACGAAAATTGAATTAATTTCCTCACGTACACATTCAGGAGAGTAAATTTAAATTGCTCCATTATAATGCGTAACTATAGTTACGCACTGAAATGACACCCAATGACAGAATAGTAGATGTGTCACGTGCTAGCTGCCAGTACAACTGTGTGTGCCGCTATTGTTGAACAATTCGCTTTTCCGTCAGAGTTGAAGGGTGCTGCATTCGGAGGAAAATCAAGGGATAGACTTAGAGGCGGGCACGGTCTTTCTTTTCGTTTTTAATTAATGGAATTACTACATTTTAAAGTAACACAAGTAACACATTTTGATTTGCAAAGTTGCTGTTTTGTGCATTTAAAAAATATATGGTCCGCGATCAGCTGACCGCAGTTGCAGAACTCCGCAATTCAGAACTTGAGAATGGGTATTGAAGTCGAATTAATTGGAACTTATAAGCCATGTTTAAAAATATATCAATCATTTAGTGAAACAGTTTAATGCTGAAGTTGAACTTAACAATTTTAAGTTTCAAAAAGATAAGTTGACAGGAAAGCATGAAGCTATAAAATAGTTATAAAAATAATCGTAGTTTGTTCTTCAGCATCTTTTGAGGACATCAGAGTGGAAGGACTTGAGATTTTTTTGGCAATCTTTCTCATTTTCTTGGGGATAAGCGCATCTTTAGGGAACCTAATCTCGTTATACATATTTGGGAGTATGGGTAACCGCCGCAATGGCGGTTACATTACTAGGTTTGTTTAATCCTTTGTTTATAATAATTCTAACTTTTCAACTTTTCATATTTTTAACTTCGGACGGCCCTAATTCAAACAATTTGCTATTAGGGCTATTTCCTACAGTTTGAAATAGGGCCGATAAAATAGTTACATTTTATTTCAGGTTGGTGTTTCTGAATCTAGCCGTGACAGATCTTATCAACGGATTTGTTTGCATTCCTTTCACCATCTATCTCATCTCAAGGGTAATACCAGTATCATACTTTCATCAATAATTATAAATACCTTTAACGTTTCATTACGAATCTAATGTATTTATTATAAGAGATCTTGTAGTACTATTCTGTCTTGATGATGCGAGTCTTTAAATTAATAAAAACTAGCGAGTCCGTTGAAGTTTACTTAACTCATTTATCATAACATCCGCAGGGCCGTCAGTTTCCGATGGAAAAAGAGGAAACCACCTTAAACGAAATCTGTTGCACAGTGGTCGGAATTCTTTTCAACGTAGTCTCCAGAACGTCTATACTCCTTGTAACGGCGATGAGTCTGGACAGATTTGTGGGGTTGTTTTACCCAGCATTCTACAAGAGGAACTTAAAGCGGGCTGTTGTTCTGGTACGGGATAATGATTTTTTATAGGGAATTGTAATGAATGCACATTGTGAGCGTTGAAGCTTGAGACGAGGATATATAATTTTCAATTTTACTCTTTCGATGAATTTTTAGAGTTCACGTTTGGGCCTGCTTTTAATGTAAAGTGCCACAAATTCTAAAATTATTCGATCCCTTAACTTCATTGCCATATTAACATGTATTACACAAATACGTAAAACATCTGAAACCAGATGGTGCTTCTGGAGTTACGACGACTTCCCCCGGACCCCCGGCCCCCCCCCCCCCCCCCACTAAATTCGTCACAGTTTTCTTGTCAGATACGAGTATACGTAGTGACGAGCTGGATTACAAGTGTTTTGCTATCTGTCCTTCCTTTGCTCTACGGTCAAATGTACATCTACATAAAGGTAGGGAACGTTCGTTTCGTTGAATAGCACACATTAAGAAAAGTACACAATAGTAAAGTATGGAATTGGAATTTGGCCTGCACTTTATTGAATATTATAGCTTTTCAACATGAGAGTTGAGAATTGAGATGCCCCATCAGGGGATCTAAAAGTAAATAAAAGTCTGTTTTGGCGTATATATTAAATAATGTAGAGTTTTAAAATTTAAAATGCATATTCTAGATTGTTATTAAAATAGAATTACTCACAACATGGTGCATTAATTATTATATTAACATAGTTAATATTTTAAGATTAAGATAATTTTACTTTTCAGAGGCAACTGAGATGTTCCTACGCTATCAACAGACTCCATCACACAATGACAGAAAAGTTGTCCGTGTTTATTACCGTGCAGATGCTTCCAACCTACATTCCTTTTGTTGTCATGGTTACGACTAGTCTAGCGGTGTATGTTCAGATCAGACGCAGTATTGACGTGTAAGTAGCAGTATTGACGTGTAAGTAGCAGTCAAGTTATGATATACATGTATAGTAGCAAGAGGTGGTAGATAAGATCGCAGTCATGTAGAATGTAGAATGTAGATTGTAGATTATAGAGTACAGTTTAGGGGGTAGTGTAATTCACTAGTGTACGGAGGGTGCTGGCATGTTTTCATGCAAATTAGTAACAATTATAATTATTTTTAACGGTTTACATACTGTTTATAATACTGACCAAATTTACAAATTTACAAAAAACTTAAGTATTAAAAGATCTTCGTTAAAATCGACCTTCTCCGTTTTAATGTTGAATGGTCATACCCGAGAATGACAGATAGTCTGTGAGAAATCCAGCAATGAAAGGTCCACCGAAATAGAAAGCACAATAACCCATCAGCCAGATACTAGTTACTTTTGTCACTACCTCTGTGTTAGCGACGGGGCGGCTGACGGACAACTAGGAACCTGTCAATTTTACCTAGTTAACTAATTAACTGCAAGCTTGGGAAATCCAATCAGCTCCGACAACTAGGAACCAATCATCACATATCCCCGACAACTATGAACCTCTGGAGATAATTTAAAAATTCAGGTGTCCACTAATTTCACAGCTGTGCTGTATATATTTCTGCACTAATTAAGACAAAGATCCGAGTATTTGGAACAGATATGGAACAA